GGCGCCTGATACCAGGTCGGGCACTACGTCACCGTGCAGTTCTGGCAGAACCTTTGGAGGATGGCACCTCATGGCAGGAGTTCAGCCGCATGGGGACGAAGCATGGGTACATGGTGGTTGTAAGAATGGATCTGTGCAGGAATGAAGGGTTGCGCGCGAGCCTTTATTTAGGCTTCTGCCTACCTTCCCTCCGGTAAGTTATGTAACTTCACCCTCGGCACCCAAAACGACATATGAACTCGTCATCCACGATTGTAATTGTATAATAGTAATAATTGTAATTGTGTAATAATAAATTATTATTATTAATATTAATATTATTAACTGTGCGGGTCTGGCGACACTAGATGGCGTTCCGTAAGGTCGTACTATAACGTATCGAAATATTTGTACTATAAATTTGCCTGACTGTATCTCGATACACCACATAATAGATGGATATTACTAATTCACAGTTTCTCAGGACGTAGATAAGTATTTTTGAATATCTCTATACAGACAGCATTGAACATTTACGTGAAAACAATGGTTATTAATTGTGAAATGAAATTCCGATTTACCTTTATAAAAAATAATAATAAATACCATGAGTACCTATAGTGAACAAATGAAAAACATTTTTGTACGTTTTCTACATGAAATAATGAAAATTGAACAAACGAATAAGAAACTAAATTACTTTACATCGAATTTACTTACTCCATTAAAAACCTTTATCTTTCTTTCATAAACCAAATAATCCGACACTGTTTCAACCATCGGTTTTTGATACTAATGCATGCAGGACAGATCTTTCTTCTCGGCTGCTCCCATTTCCCATATCATGAACGCCTCTCCATCACATCAAGACTCTAGCACCAAAGTCCACCTGTTGAAGTCACTTCCAGATTCTACACGTTTAAACGTCTCGAATGTCCACGAAAATCCTCTTACTGATGCATCTCTCAGGAGGTTAAAATGTCTTCTGCAAAGCCTCCTTAATCCGTCCATCATCCCACACCAACCACTGTCCAACAAGTTTTCACAGACGAAGCACTCACAAGTCACAACCCAACACAAATCATACCCAATATGATATTTTACAGTACAGGACACAGCGGAGAGCAACACAGGCGCGGTCATGGTTCCTATACATCCTAATAATCGATTGACATGAAGGGGCTCACGGACTGCTTCGGTGCTAATTTAGAAAGTACGAGCTATCCGCGCACGTTTTCTTCAGCCCTTATTTTGCTAGTAGCGACAGGAATGTGGGGTCGGTTATTTCGTCGTTAGGATTATTATATAAAATCTATAGCTCTTTTTTTCGATGCAAAATAGTTTTTATTATACCGAGCGCACTGGTTATCAGATGTCAACAACGATTGTTGCTATTAATTATTCATAATTCAACAAATGTTAGTGAAGTAATGGGGGTAAGGATTCGGAGGCTCAGGAACACGTGCGCGTTTAGTACTGTATATACCGGCTAGAGGGCCACTTCGGTATCGAAGAGGGCCACTTCAGCTCAGTGGTGGCCGCCCCTCGTGATTAGCGAGTCTCAGCCGGCGCGAGGCAGTGAATATAACCACCTAAGCAAATGTTCCTCGAAAGAATCAAAGAGGTTAAAAAGGTGCTTGTTTGAGGTTGCTCTGGCATTCGTGTTTTTTCCCATGGACGCTTGGAGATAAGTGAATCCAGCTATTATCTCATGACGCCTGAAACACTAATCACGGCCTTAGTAGCTAACATAAGCGTTAACTGGGCCCCTTCATAACGTGAACCGAATCGGTTATATATTGAATTGAATTGAATATGCCTTATTTTACGTGGCGAGACTCGGGCCACTATATACTTTCTTGGGTTCTTACAGTGGTTTTAAAAAGTAAGGTTCCTCATGGCAAACGGAAGACGGCTGCGTTTTTCTGCAAAAGATTATGTATGCAATTGAAGAAAGTGTTGGAAGTGTTGAAATTCTTAAGATTTTTCAAACAGGAAAGCCCTTTCAAACAAGAAGCCATTAAACCTTCCAATGTTTAGTCTTCCTAATTCGAGATCGATATGTTGCTAAAATTTCGTGCAGAATTGCATTTTATACATTGTTTGTATCAATATTTCCTAGTGCACAAGTTTCAATTCATTCTTCCATTGCAGGGATAAATAATCACAACTGGACTCTTCGTAAACCTGGCCTTTGTACATACCCGGAGAGCAACAACCAAAAGAAGAAGGAGCAGAAGAAGAAAGAGGAGAAGAAGAAGAGAAAGAGGAGAAGAAGAAGCAGAAGAAGCAAGAAGAAGAAGAAGAAGAAGAAGAAGAAGAAGAAGAAGAAGAAGAAGAAGAAGAAGAAGAAAATAACACCTTGCCACGCTTGGCAATCGCTTCTTAGGGTTGCTTTCCCGGAAACAAGTGATTACATGTAAATAATCGAAGAACTAAGTCGAAACCAGAGGACACCAAATGGAATGAAATCGGAAAGCTTCAAACTTTTGTGTAACGTATTACTATTGCTACGAGACGTCTGTACCTTATAAGCGTATGCGTTGTGCAGAAACTCCCTTTGAAGATTAAGTTTCGTTCCGTTATTTATATCCGATAATTGTAGCCGTTTCGATTAAGTTCAAAAAGTCTTTATTGATGAAAAAACTCGGATCCGATTGTTCAAAGTAAGCACCCTTCATAATTTCAACCAGGCAGAGGCATCGGCGGCGGTCCCTGCTGGTGTAGAAAATCCACCACCCTCCCTTCGATTCTAGGACCTCCCGATCCACAATGATTTCCTCGCAACACCATACTTGGTGCATCGGTTAAGGGCTCCTACACCATAGAGTAATGAACTATACCTCTTTAGTCAATGCCTAAACCTTGAGGCGTCGCTCGCAAAACCCGCCGTCAACGGGGAACAGTATGGCGGCAATACATTTACAACCGGTGCCAGTCTGGCTCTAGAGCTACGCTTGGCTTGTAGTATTCCTAGCTCAATAAGAGAGGCTTGCAGGAATTAGATGGGTGGAATTTGCTCATTATTCATACTTTTTTCTGTATCCCGAAAGTGAGGACGAGTTTGCAAAGGTATGCTATCTCATCAACGTTAGGGGGCGGATTTTGATGACCTAAAACATCGCTCAATGCGCAAAAAATTGTCAATAAAATGCTCTTAAACTTGTTTTAAAATGCCCTAAAAAGAAAGAAAATGACGTAAAAATGTCCGAGTGCCTTTGTGTAGTAAATAAAAACTTCGTAGTATTTCTTTTTGGCTGTTTCAGGGATGCTTCTATTTCGTCTAATAAATTAAGGATCGCCTGGAGGGTGTTTCTTTCCTGAAGCCGTATTGTTGTTCCGGAATTAGGTGGTCCGTCTCTTTCTTAAGTCTCTCTGTGGAATATCGATTTTATTGATTCTATAGTTGGCAAATTTGGATGTTTATCAATTTTGAAAGTAATGTCCAACAAAATGCAGCGAATCTTGGACTAGTGCCGACATTTTCAGCAGGACAACGCGCCAATCCACGCAGCGCATATTGTGAAATAAGGTTGCTACAAAATGTACCAAAGCGCCTTAATCGCCGCCACAATCACCCGTCCTCAATCTTAAACTTTTTGTAGGAATTGGAAAAACGTACGCAGAAGCATAAAGTTTCAAATAAACAAGAGATCAAGAGGGGCCTCGCTGACAAAATGGATGAAACTCGCGTCTGCATTTATAAGGAAGCTTTTAAGGCCAATGCCAGTAAGACTGGAGGCTGTTATTCGTGCTATAGGTCGTCTTATAAATTATTGACGTATTATTTTTCGTTGTGTTTCTAGAATACACTTTTCCAGTGTATGTTCATTGTTGTTGTGAATTGCATATGCTTTAGGAGAAGTTTCATGTATTATTTATTCACTTATTTCCAGTTATTTTTTGTTATGTACGAGTGAAGAATGTTTGCATTAATATCTATATTTGTTTTGTACCACGCAATTCTGCAGTAAATATTTTTTGTCTGACGGTCTATAGTTTCTTTTACATCCAGTTTCGAGAGACACTGAATTTCGTTTTTAAAACCGGAATGTCACATTAATATATCCAGCCGACATTCGGACATTCATTCTCTAACGAACTCGACGCATTCTTTGTCTAACATACTTGCATCCATATTTCTCTACGCCCCTCAATTGTCTTTTCCACGAAATTATTATACAACTTTAACAAATTTACATTTTAATTTTGTAACCGTAACTCTCTCTTTTATATTTATATTAATTAGTCAAAATTAGTAGGCAACACTGACTGCATTTAGGCCCTAATAATAAAGAGTGAGGAGACTTTTTTAAGGATGAAAGGTTGCGAAGGCAAGGAAATTTCCAAGCCAGACACGCACCATCAACGTAACATATGGGTGGATCTCTCCTGCATTTATGCATTTGGGTTCCAGAATATGCTATAGAGATCATTTTTAAAAATTTTCTTCCTAATCTAACAGATTCAATTAGTATACCCTTCATAAAAGTATACTTTCATTCAATGTAACTGGTACATAATAACTGTACAATATATTTGTAATTAGTAGCATTAAAATAACATATTGAAATGTTAATTATTAGCAGATAATTTATCTACTGTATAATATCTTAATCTAACTGTAACAAGTATTGTATTTCTAGGCCAATTACCCCATCTTGATCAGGTTTTGTTCAGTTTCCCTGGTTCTTTGAGCAAATGCTGAGATGGCCCCTTGTTTGCTCCTGAACAGTAATGTAACTTTGCTCTCTCCACCCAAGGTATCATATTGACTCGTCATACACGATTGTAATTGTATATGTGACTCAATAAATATTATAATTATATAAATCTAAATAAAAGGAATTATTTTCATAATTCTGGAAAAATTTTAAAAAGAAAAATATCAACATTAACACTGAACTACAATCTCTAACCCTTTGTAACACTGCTTCAAATATACCCCTGCTCTTTAACAATACATAATGTATGGCTGACCCCTCAGCCATAGACATTTGTGAAGTACAAATGTTTATGATGTGTAATGAGGAAAACTCACAATTAATCAATTAACTGAAGAAAATGCCAAAATGTTGAGACAATCAGAACTTTATTTGAAACTTGAACAGCATTCAAAACAATATCAATGAACCGCACAAGATCATTGTTACCTATTATAATTATTTTTACAAAACATGTTTGACACTTTGGTGCAGTTTGTGTTAAGTATCAAAACATTAAGACACAAGATGTATTGTTCTCATATTACCTTTCACTGGGTTAAATCTGCATAAACAGACCAACTATTTGTCTCCTCTCACAGCCACACCCAACACATTTGACACCAGTGGCCCCATCACAATAGGAATATTTTTCTTCACATTGTGTATCACAGAATTTCACCCATATTAAAAGCAAGTTTCAAGCTTATTTATTCATTTTTAATGACAAAGGAATGCTTCAATGCCAACATCCACCTCTCTCCTTCCAACTAATACACGAGTAAAGACTCAGTTTATTCAAACTTACTATATAGTAACACTGATTTGCAAATGGTGAACAACATGAAGCAACCCTCGCTGCACTCTTCAATTATTATCTCAAATACACACTTATATTTTTAGTCATGTCTTTATTCTGCAATGACATTCACAGAAATGTTGCAGAAAACAGAACCAAGCTTTTAAGTCCTCTATTATTTGGTATTTTAATTTTGTGACAATCTTCAATTTGACACGTTGATTAGACATTTTCATCTACAGATAAATTTTATAGGCACTACCTAAGAAAGGAAAGTTCTCAAATTCTGTGTTCACTAATTCTCATTAGTTATACACTTCTTTTAATCCAAAACAATTCCAAGTGCATTTACGGGATATCTTAAATTAATAATACGAAATCACATTCCATTTATACTCAGCTGTCCTGTAACTTCTGCCCTTTGCATTCTAAGATCTTATTAAAATCGAGATGCCCAGCATTAGTACACAACTCAAAATTGTAGAGCAACACAAGGAAGACAACTAAAAAAGGTTCCAGTCACTTATGACCGACACAATGACTTTGTTCTTTAAAATCTTTATTGGTGCTGCTACTAATGTAGAACATATTTCACAAAATTCCTTTACAAAGTATTATAAAAATGGAGATGTATAATAAAGCATCACAAAAAAGCTGAAAATAAATATTAGTAATACTGAAATTTAAAATATGCAAAACAATTGACTGTGTCAAAAGATGTGAACCAGTAACATAATGCCCAATGCAGAAACGCGTATCACTGGAAAGTAAATCACACGCATACTGTACTGTTACTAATGTAATCCTCGCTTTTTTGTCGTTTCTTTATAATGAATCCACAAGATATTCTATTAACAACAATACTGCCAACTTATAGAGACCAAAATGCATTAACAAATACTTTTGTGAAAGGTACTTAACCACTGTTAGAGATGCACAAACACATTTGAAACAAAGCTATCGCATTAATCCAAAGTAAAAACATAAAATGTTATAGTAATATGCACCCAGGCATTGAAAATGTACTTTTGTTTAGAGTTAGAAAAAACAACAATGGTTCAAATTAGAATAAATCCTGTGAACTATCATTACTTCCACTTTCTACCCAAATTATTAGAAAAGAGCACTACCAGGTCCCTGTCAGAAAGATACAGGACTTAGACGTGGAATGTGATGGTTGACAGACTGTAGCACACCTTATCAATTGGATGTTGCATTTGATGTTACATTAATGCTGTTTAACAGCTGTAACAGTCTGACTTTAGAACTCCAAAAACTTGTGCATGGTTCAAAGTCTTTCACACACACTTACAAAAACAGCCAAATTAATGAGTTATATGGTAACAAGTCCCATCTTTCATGAACAGGTACTTCCAACCTGCTGAGAGCAATATACAACATGTTCATATTCAATCAGCTTTTCGTGGTTTTCGTTTCCGGACATTGGGGCTTTCTTGACCTTCCTTCTGTTCAGTATCAGATCCTCCACTCACTCCGTCAGCAGCATCAGCATCAGCATCATCAGGAAGAGCACCACTTTCATCTACTTCATCTACAAGGTCATCTTGATCTTCACCATCCTCCTAAAAAATAATTTATATTCTCAAAAATTGTCCTTTTTAGAAGATTTCTGTTAGGATCTGGGAGTATTTCAGTAAATAGGTTTGTTATTTAATAAGCAGCTCATTCATATTTCAATAAAATATTGTCGAATTCCTTAATTTTGCAATTGCAATTTACAAATATGGACAATAAAAACAAAACACTTACAAGTTCATCTCCACTGCCATGATCTTTAGCAATTTTTTCTTTCAGTCCTTGAGAAGCAGATGGAATTCTTGTCATGAGAGGTTTTGGTGGATAGATTAAATCAATGATACACACCAGAATCTGCACACAAGGAGAGAAATTTGTAATAGCAGACAATTCTAAAACTGGAATAGATTACAGATTCTCAACACAGAATACTTACAAGGCCAAGTAAAGCCCCAATAACAATGGTGCCACAGGCAAAAATTAGATATGAGCCCCAAGTTGGCAGACCATACTCCTCCATTAAGTTATTGTGCACAGTCTGAAAGAAATTTCCATTAATGAGAATTATTACAATAATGTAATGGATACATTTAAAAATGCAAAATCTCTAATATGAAAATTGTTCTGTGATAAAGAAATTAACATGGTTGAAGGCAAGTACAGGTTACAAAATACCTACCCTCAGCAACTGAGAAAGTTTGAAGAAATATGACACGACAGACATTTGAATGGAACCTGGACTTTTCCAGCCAGGGATTGCTTCCACAGTTTTCCATTTATCATCTTTTATAAATGAAATAAGAGCTTCTTCATCCCGGGCACCTCGGTATTGTCGAAATTCTCCATCAAGCACACTGTAGAACACTACATTTCTATAATAGTTCTTGTTTAACGTGATAACCTTTTATAAAACCACAACTTTTTACTTACTGAAATATGGTAGGCAATGCTGTTACCATGAACCTGCCACTCAAGCCAGGAGAGGAAGTTACGTCAACCTGACCAATACTCACTCCAAATTTGCCTCCAGAATTAGAAAATCTTTCCCAAACGGGTTGCAATGCTTTACAGGCAGGGCACCACGGGGCGTAACTGCAAGTACACAAGTGTGCACAGATGAGATATCTGCATTTCGCAAAAAGTTGTCAAAGTTCCGACAACTGCATATACCAAGATATGAAAATGCAACTGGTTTGAATTATCTATTACCTAGTAGACCGTAACTTTACCGGCACAATTGGGCTTCTTAAGAAATCTATATCATTTCATATATAGAGCCCCATATACCAAACGCCATGTGACAAGTCTTTCTTGATTCATACGTGATTCGGCTACTATTACTACTTTCGCAAAACACGAAACATATTGTTTTATGAAAATGGATAACAAATGTACTTACAATTCTACCATCCATTCGCCTGACAGCATTTTTTCCCAATTGTCTTCGTCTAAAGATACTACGTTACTTTTCGCCAACACACAACATAAATGCAATAAAAAGAAAATAGAACATATATTTACAACACGATACGACATAATGGGAGCCATCATTTAATTTTCGAAGTTCCAATGGTTGTCAGGGAAAAATCGTTTCGTTACGGTTTCGTTGCTTGCCCGTGCCCGTCGCTGCTCTTGTTGACGACTCGATGCGACGCGGCTCTACGTCACCTCTTGCAAGGAATCTCGTACGCTTTCCTTCGTGCGTAGGAAAACTGTCAAGTGATTAGAGCACTCATACCAACTCATTCTTCTTAATGTGTCTTATGTCTCATAAGCTGCTCATAAGACTAGATTTGAATCAATTTTTTGTCTGGGTTAGCGAGCCACTCCTAGTTAGGATTGCATGCACAATACATATTATTAAATACATAGTGCATAACAGAAAATATGCTAATGGAATTCCGTCTAAGGGAATTATATTTTTGTTGATCCATCACAAAATGTTATTGCAAAATTAATGCGAGGAAATTAAAATATTGTCAACTTTATAATTTCAGAATGTTGGAATTTTTCTGCCACAAATGAATGCTTCAATGCAACTGCTCAAAGGAACAGGTTTCAACTTGCTGTCGCCAAAGAGTCCCAAACAGTGCTCTTCATGTGCAGCAAATGCACTGGGCTGTCTATAAACTCTCTGGTGCACACCGTGCAGCTGTGCAGCTGGTGTGATGTGTGTTGGTGTGTGACAGGCTCGGTCAGCGTCAGAGTCAGAGCTGCCTCTGAGTGTATTGGGAGATCTCGCTTTGCGTCAGCCTGGTGCGAGTGTATTCAGTATTCAACGGTGTTAAATAGATGCGCGAGTTGTATTATGTCACGTAAGCGCAGTGCAATTATCAAGCGTGACGTCAAGTGTAGAGTTTAACAAGGAAATCAGCTGCCAGGTTGTTTAGTGATAGGTTGAATTTAGCTTGGAACACTCGAATAATTTTACTGTATAAAATACAGAAGAGAATGGCGCACTGGTTTCATAGGAACGTTTTTAAAGCTACGACAATTGTACATTTTGACATCCCATTTGTGCATCAAGATGTTCAGGCAGTTCAGTTATGCAGGTGAAAATTGAAAATTGGTATCTGTTTCTGTACCGTGTATTTCCTCTATTTGATACATTATAATTATACAAATTATTTTGTTAGCCAATTGAAGCAAACACGACAAGGATTGCTACAAGTTTTGCCAGATGTGAATTATGGACCTGAAACCATCGAATCCGCTTTTGGGTCCTATTTTTCTTTGCTAATGGGTTTGCTAACTGATCCTACAGATGCCAATCAAGTCAGCAAATTAAGACAGAGTGTAGCGTTTAAGTGGACAAATTCGCTTCTTGGAAATTCACCTCAGTTAGTATTTCTGGATGTTGTGTTAAATTTGATAAATAATCTCATCAGAGCTGTGATCTTAATATTGCATTTAATTTTATTTTACAGGGTTGTGAAGGATTCATTCTTTGAAGCCTTCAATATATGTTTTAATCTTGCTATATGGTACATGAAACATGCATCAATGGTTGCTGCTAAGGATGAGTGAGTGATGTAGAATTTACTATGAATACAAGTTGACTTATATTTTATTTCTTTTATAGCTCCAGTGATATAGTTTTACAGAAGACAAAAAGTTACAATTGTAAAACATTGTGCATGTGTTTTTGAATTGGACAAGAATTACACTTGTTATGCATGGTATGATCTTGTAATGAAAGCAATGCTAACAATTTTTACTTATATTGTCATTATGAAGACATAATGGTCACATGTTATGTTTGCTGTTAAAATATTTAAATATTTGGCACAAATTTGATACAATTGTATGTTAGCTGTCATACAGTCATGTGGTGGTGGTGGGGTGGTTGTTGTGTTTCGTTTGTTGTTGTTGTTTTTTTTTTCCTTGTTGCCAACCTTTGAGTAGACATTTTATTTTCAGTTGGCTCAAAGGTATTTAATTTGTGATTATAATATAAATGACATTGTTTTATTTTAAGCATAACTCTGGATGAAGCAAAAGATGTTCATGTGAGCTTAAAGAAGGCAGCAGGAATTTTCCAGTTTATTCAGTCAATGTATCTTCCTCAACTAGGGTCTGAGCAAATAGAAGCAGGGGACCTAGATCGAAGAATCTTGGCAGCTTACTTAACTCAATGTACTGCTGAGGCCCAAGAGGGTGAGTTGTTTCAAATTTTTAGATCCCAGTTGGCACTTGGTATTTCAGCCATGACAAAACTCATGATCTTTTAATATGAGGATGTCTTGCAATGTTATATACCTCTCATGAAAAGATGATGTGATCAGCATCACACTTCAAACGTCTTTTCTGACAGCAACATGGTCAACATAGGTCATTTTGGTAGAAACATCACTTCGACAGATTTTATTTTGAATGAAATATTTCCACTAGCGCATCTGCTACTAGGTCAAAATATACTTGGTCATTACAAACAACAAATAGTTTGGTGGTGTAGGATTTATTTTTATTTAAGAATTCAATGTATTAATGAAACTAATATATGCTCATTGAAACAGAAACTAATTTATTTTGTTATTATTATTAGAATTATATTTGTCACATAAATATAGCATAAGCCATGTATGACAAGTCAGGATATGCACATAACCATATAAAATATATTCTGTTCATGGTGGATGGATGTTAGAATTTGACTTAAGGATGAAATGGCATCACATGACTTGGTAAGCTTGTTGCTTAGATCTGTGATATGGGAATTCCATTTTTGATCTTCTGTTTGATCCATGTCTGATCCATTTTTGGTCTTGAATAGTCAATCCAAGGATAGTGATTTTGGTTTTTTGTTTGTTTGGTGTGTGTGTGGCGTGTTTTTTAATTGTCAATTGTGCTGGAGACCATTTCTGTAGAGAGTGAATTCCGAAAGTTTATGGAAACCATTTTACTGTCGTTTATGATGAGTTCATTTTCCTTGAACCATTTTACTAGTGTTTCTAGGATTGTTTGCACTTCTTTTTGTAGAGCGTGTTTGGTATTTTCTTTAATAACGTTTCTGACATCTGCAAATAGGATCATTTTGCTCTTTTGTGGGATCAGGGGCATGTCATTGATGTATAAGAGAAATAGTATAGAGCCTAGGATTCATCCTTGTAGCACTCCATAATTTATCATTCTAGGTGGGAAAAATGTGAAGAAATCTTTTTATCTCTAGCATTCTTGATTATGACTACTTACCTTTCAAATCGTCAATATTTAACTCATTGATGTGCAATGCCTCTAATTCTCAAAGTTTCAAGTTTGGATAATAGTATGTGATGGTCAATAATGTTGAATGCTTTTGATAAATCTGGATACAAACCAATAGGGATTTCTTTGTAATCTATAGCAACAAGTATGTCATATAGAAAGGTGAAGATAGCTGTTAATTTCAAAGTATTGTTTCATAATCATTTTTTGTTACAGTATTGTAATAATAAAGTCATTAATTCTCTTGAAATTATGAATAATACAATTATCCACTTATCATTATGTAGGGTAGGTAAATTTTCATTTTATTTGTGTATAAGATAGTCAGTGGAAGCATACAATCGTCAAGCATATCTCCACTATGACTATTTTTTGTCACTTGTTTATTAATGCATCTGCATTCATAGTCTATTTGACCATATGAAAAATATGCTATATCTTAACTATTAAAAACGCTAAATAATTGCTTAATACTAATAGTTACTTTTCAGTGCTTCTATAATGTGCTGTTTTTGATTATATAGTGAGTTCATGTCATAAAAACATAAGTTATAATTATGAAAAAGATATATATTTATTAAACTTCTATCTTAAATCAGTTGAGTACAAGGCTCGCAGGCAAATCCTAAAATAACTTTAATACGCTGTAACTGCATAACCAAACAAGGTTTGCTAACATCACAATTATGTATGATGTATGTAGTTTTAATACTTTGGAAAGCATATGAGTGAGAATGAAATATTTTTTTAAAACAAGGTTTTCTTGTTTTTTGCAGTTACTCTTGCACGAGCGGTGGAATTAAAACATAATCCGTGTTTAATTTCATCTTTAGCCTTTGAAACCTCGAAAATGTTTTCTGATGCTGCTGCTTCTCTCAGATCATTGGAACCAGCTGCTCAATGGAAGCTTTATTTGCAATTAAAGAGTGCCTTTTACAAAGCATTTGTAAGTCTTATTTCATTTGTGTACTAGCAAAGAAGCATACCTTGCTCAAAAGATAAAGCCTGCATTTATGTATATAATTTAAATAAATGGTAATGAAATACGAGATAAGAATGAAATAACTCTTTAAGGATGAAAAGGAAGAGTTACTTCGTTATTATTTGATGCTTAAATTTGCAGATGAAGAATCTGAATAATGTAGATTTATAGAAGTGACCACTTTCATCTTTTACCTGTGTGAAGCAGTATTGTTATGTGAATGTAGGATGGTGCAATAAGAGCCATATTTATAGTCGTCACTTATAATAAGGAAAACTTTAAGGAGTTCCTTATAACGTTTTTCAATTCATAGTCGTGACTCATCCATGTACATAAGAAACTCCTTATAAGGAAGGTCCAGCCTTCACTAATAAGTGAACAGTCTCTTGGTGGGGTGAAAATAGTTCTAATTTGAAAGAAATGGAAATAGACTGAGTTTGAAGATCATTTTTTTTTTTTTTATGGTGGTGTAAATTTCGTCCAAAAAACTAGCTATATTTACTTGATATGTAAACCCCCCTGGAAATGCCCAATGATAAAGAATATTGTTAAAACATTGTTTTACCAAGACCAAAGAAAACGTTTTGGTAATTTTGGTGGCAAAAACCAGCTATAACTAATAGAAGTATACTGATTTCCCTCTATTTATGTCACTACTGAAGTAATTATGGAGGTTAGGTTACCACATGGATGTCTACAGGTGCATGAATAGGACTAGTTCATGGCCAGCTTGATGGTGGAGCATTTCAGGTAGGATTCAAGTGGCTGTGAAACAACCAATGCACTGTTGCCACGCAAGATACTGCTAGCGTTGTACTTATGTTAAGTATCGTCTATGAATACCAAATGTGCATAAGCATTACCTTATCAAAAGTAACTTCTTGCAAGTTAAGTATTTTTTTGTCTTATAAGTGACAACTATGAATACGATGCCAAGAATCATAACATTGAGTTGGTTCATTTACTCTCAAAATAACTCTTATTTAATAAAACTTGTTTACTTGTTTGCGTTGATGAATTATCTTAAAGAACACCAAAATGTTTGATTTGTAAGTTAATGAAACAGATAATTCAGTTTTTGTGGAAAAAAATGTATTTGTCAGTGTTTGTATTTTATAGGCCTACAAGTATTGTGGAGAAAATTTGCTATCTCAGGATAAATGCGGAGATGCTATTCGAGCATTGAAGGAAGCACTTGCTTGTAAGTTCAAATTCAATTCATTATCCTTTGCTCAGAAAACAAATTTTGTTGAATGGTAATTTTAAATTTCTAACAACTCAATTTGATGTGTAGCCTCCTCACAAATGCATTCTGATGGGGAAACCTCCCGTTAATTTAGAAATGAAAATCTGCAAAATTGTCTCTCAAAGATTTATAGAGGCTCACTGCATTAACAGTTTTGTGAACAAATAGAATATTATGCCATCAGTTCAGTGTCATGATAAATGATTCACTTAGTCTGTCTAGACTGTAAGGTATCTTGATAAAGTAAATAAAATTGTTGTAACTTCAAGCATAGCCAATTGCTAGTTCATATGAATTAGTATCTGATTTTTTGAAATAAATGTACATGCTATGCTTTACAAATGTGTGCATTTATTTTGCACACATCACCAATTGTGAAACTTTGGTGAATATCAAATTTGTGCTATTTGTTGTTTCCTTTGTAAAATACTTTTTCACAAAGATAATCATTTTTGATGGAGAGCATATCATTTACATTAAAGAAATTGAACCTTGAAAACACTTAAATTTTGTTCTGAAAATATATCTTACATGTGAAAATTAGGAAGTTCTCTTGTATTTACAGATTAAGCGTATGTATTGTTTGTAGGAAATATATTTCTGAAAGATGTACATTTTGCATGTTGAGTACATCAATCAATTTTCAAGACAATGTACTTAATGGAAATAAAAGTAAATTCCACATATGTCTATCTCAACACCAAGCTTATATTGAGTTTTAAATAGGATATGAAAACCTATTTGTTATAGGTTATGGACAAGCCTCAGAACTTTGCAAAGAATATTCAAAGAAGAAAGGGCCTGCTCCAAAAGTTAGTCCAGAAGATCATCCTTTTTTCAAGAGATTGGCACCACAACTAAAAATCACATTAGAAAAATGTGAACGAGAAAATGGATTCATGTGTGTGAAACATTAACTTATTTGCTTTTAAGAGTTACTTTTGAGAGAGCGAGAGTTAGTGATGGTGGGCGAGAGAGTTAGTGATGGTGGGCGAGAGAGTTAGTGATGGCGGGCGAGAGAGAGTTAGTGATGGCGGGCGAGAGAGAGTTAGTGATGGCGGGCGTGAGAGAGTTAGTGATGGCGGGCGTGAGAGAGAAAGAGAAAGAGAGTTAGTGATGGCGGGCGTGAGGGAGAACCATGTGCACTGGAAGTGAACGTACAATACTACCTAAAAAAATATGAGTAATATTTGATATGTATTTTAATGTTTTATGTTGTTTTAATATAGTCTTTGGTTAAACTTAGTTTTAATTCATATACATGAATTGACTATGATTTATTGTATATTAGTGTTCTGAATTTTTGATATTACATTTCTATCGTTTGATGGAGCTGCAACCCCCAGTTTCTTACGGCACCAGCCACCACTGGTTTTTTAATATTCACAAATGATGCAGATGGAGAGTACACAGAAAATAACAATTTGAAGAAAATCCTCCTGGTTTGTAATTTCTTGAAGATAGTGCAGGGGACATATTACTTCGCTACTTGGAACTTTGGAAAATTTTAAGTTATCTACGCAGTGATTTCCAAAAAAAATATAAGTATCTACTATTATAATATTTTGTCAAATATTTTGTTTCAATACAGCTTGTCAGATTTATAAAATTAGCAATTATACTAGCAACATAACAGAAATTATATATACAGATCATCTATTCTCAGATCAGGAATGCGAGCTGAACTAAATACTTACTATGGCAACTTGGACAGATACCAGTCAGGATTGCCAGCATTTGTGCCAAATTGTTTTTTAGCCTAGTCCATGATTTTCAAGTTGATTGATATTTTAATGGTGACTTGCCCAGGTATTTGCAGGACTACTATTTCTTTATTTTTTTCCAATTCATTTTGTAAAATTTGGAGATCAGGAAAGGAGGTATTTGGAGCTATTTTCGATATTGCGAACATGCACTGGCTAATTGACTAATTAGCCGTATTCTGACCTTAGCCAGTATTTGTGTACTGAGAAGCAAATTTAATGGGGTGTCTTCACAAATCACAAAATTTTTACATTAGTTGAAGGTATTGGCTGTAGTCAGAGCATTATTACACCCATAAACAGGAATGGCAAAAAAAAAACAACACTGATGTGTGTGTGTGGGGGGGGGGTGCGTGCGTGTGTATATAAGTAAAAATAATCCCTAATTTTTAATCCATCATAGAAAAAATATTTTAGTTTTGTACCTTGAAGTGATTGATATGCAGTGATTTGTTAAAAATTATCGCCAAGGTCGCTTACTTACTACCAATTTTACGAATTGTGTAAATTACACCACAGCACTCATTAGATTACTGGCTTATCACTTTTTGGCTTCTAGATATCATCAGAAAGTACCTCATGATCCCCCTCAGTTGGAAGAAAAGGCAACTTATGGTTTGGTAAATCCAGATGATTTTGGTATCCCATCTATAAGCAAACTGTGGACACCTGTCACTTATGCAGCATTTAATGATGCAACTTCTAAAAGCGATTCTAATTCTGTAAGTAAAATTTTTCGTTATGTTTATGAATTAATAGTTATTTTTAGTACAAGTCGTGTAAATTAGTCTTTAAGGACAAGGCCAGAAGGTTGACTTTGAAACAGGGAGATAGCAGAACCGATTCTTTAAAGACTCTAGAGCAGGGGCCAACTTGCTTAAAGAGGCCCAGCAGGGTCTCTCAAGGGTCACAACTAAAACCTTTAATGTGGTTGCAGGCCGTATTTTCATTTCTCAGGTGATCCATTCCTGACTTCCTTATGTTGATGTTGCACGTTGTCTGATTGCTCGGAAACCGGGAGGAGGAGAGGCAAAGGAGCCATGCGTGATGTCAGGCTGTACTATGCATATTGTAGTGAAACATATTGGCATGATTTTGAATTTCTGAATTAACTACAAAAAATATTTAAGTCTACGTTTAACCTATTTTTACAGTAAAGGAGAGAGTTGATGCAAGCAGAGTCCATGCGCTAGTTTTACAATATTTTCACTCAACATGGGTGCAAGGGACTTTCATTTTCGACTAATAACCTTTCACAGGTCACAATAAATGTCACCAGGGACCACATGCAACCTGTGGGCTGCTAGTTGGACAACCCTGCTATAGAGGTGCACGTTTCATACAATGTGTTTTGTTATTTCAATTTACTCCTGTTATTCAAAATAAACATTTCCAAGTTCAGAATTGTCATTGCTCTCAATGTTCTGAAGCAAAGATTGTTGGTACAGGGTCGTGGTCCCAATTTTAATTAGCAATCTCAGTACATGGAAGGACCAAAAGGACAAAGTGGGGAAATGGGGGAAAGTGAGACAGCAGGGAAAGGACGATGAAGAGGCCAAGTGGTCAAAATTGCAAAGGGGGAAGAAAAGGACAAAATGGGAAAACAGGAACAAAATATGGACAAGACTACTGGGAAAAGGGGACAATTGAGGACAGATGGACAAATCAAGACAATGTGACAAAGGAACAAAATGGGATAAAAGGGGCAATGGGGGCAAAATTGGACAAGGATATAAAATGAGCCATGGGGGGGAAAGGAAAATGGACAAAATGGAACAAAAGGCCAAATGGAACAAACTGAACAAAAAGGTTGGAATCATTTCTTGTAATAATAATGAAGGTAAATCTCACAGCTTCAAATGGCATTACAGACAGTGGAATGTATACCCAAACAATTGTTAAAATAAAGTTGGTTTACATTTATTTCCAAAAATTGTGGTTTGTCGCAAGAACATATTTATGCAAAAATTTACGAGCGCTGGTAAAACCTAATCCTGAAAGTCCACTAAAATATTTTAATGGACTCTCAAGTATTTTAATGGCTGTTGCTATGGACACGCTCTTAAAGCATTGTTTAGACGATTGGATGCTAAGGAGCTATGAACGAGTTTACTGATGTAAATAACAAAAAATATTGTGTTGGTAAAAGATAATTTAAATGGTGCAGCATACGTACCAAGTATCATATTTTTCAAAAGATGCTAGACGCGTGCTTTTTAAAGAATGAATACTTAGATAGTTGTGATATTTCGTGCCTTAAAAGGTCAGCATTTGAATTAAAATTTACTTTTTGTGTACAGATTTTTTTGAATTTTACAATACAGAATATTCAGAATTCTTTAGATTTGTGGTTCTCTAGACTATGACTAGGAACAAGATCTAGATGTAATTTAGAATTTTAATATTAGCAAGCAAATGTGCTCTTAATATATGGCAACATTAACACATACATTAACAAAACAATGAATAAATAATATGATCTTTTAACTTTTTTTTATTAAAAAAGGTTAAAGTAAGCTTTCCAAGATTTTTGCAGACAACTGTCGAAAATGTTAAATGAATTTATTAGATAAAATTAAACTTTTTTCATTGAAGAATGTAATTTGATAATTTTTAGATACTAATTCAGAAGATTCTAAATCCTAGTCTAAGTAGGACAGCTTGATTACACTTGAGAACAAGTTGATTGAATAAATAATCATTATTTTTCACTTTGTGATTTCATAACACACCTAATCAGCAAAGAGTTTGGTTACTTATTTTTAAATCATAAATATGTACATAAAAAGGCAGTGAATCTGATTCAGGACATTAAAAATTTATTTTGTAGTGAATCAATCAGATTTATCAAAAATCTCCACATTGACTTGTCAATTCAAGTCTTCCCAATGGCGATCAGATATTGGCTAAGCTAGCAGAGACTAGTGTTCACATTAAGGAGTATTAATGATAATGATAAATTTGTAAAGCAGCCATCAGTTATTTGTGGTAATTGTAAAACAGTGATATAAAGTTCTAGCATTCTTATGCCGTATTTGTGGTTTTTGTCCTGATATCTGGAATTTATGGTCAGTCTTATATTCTTAGAATGCCTAGGTCTGTTTGTAATGATGCCTTTACTACATGCATCCCAAGAGCAGTTACATCCATGTACTGACAAAGTACATGAATTTAACTGTTTAATGTCAAAGTACTTCATGTACTTTGTCATTAAAGATACAACCAATATACTAACAAAATATATATTTTCTCTGTGTTTATGAAATCAATATTTTTCTTTCCTTGTAGACATCAAAAAAGCCTGAAAAGGATCTTCCTCCAGTGAAAGAAACCCCTGTTCATCAAACGTCTAAGGAGCCAAAGAACGAAAATGGATGCTCTTTGCAGTAATTCTTTTTTACTGAGAAATTTTATTATATAATAAATGTATAATCTAATCTTTTTATGTGAACAATGTTTACAAAATATTTTGTATCACTATGCAAACTGAACCAAAGAAAAAATATTTTATTGTCTGTGTGCACGTGCCACAGTGTGAGATATGTAATTAAGATTGTGTAAATGTAAGATGTAATTTATAAACTTTGAAAATGTTCCTGCTTTATTTTAGCATATTTTAGTTTTTGTAGTAAATAAACAAATCTATATTTCTCTCTATTGATAGTATTCTTATGTTTATAGGAATGTGTATTCAATGTAAGTTGACTTCACAGGTGCTGATATTTTTCATGACATTAACGATGATTGGGAAAAGTGCAAAAGAATGTCTGTGCAAATACTAGAAATAGTGTTCTCCAGGAATCAGAATGTTCATGTGTAAGCTGTTAATTATAATCTGCTCTTAATAATTATATTTTATTTCTCAAAAAATTCAAATTATACATGTGTTTTTATTTCTTGGCGCTTGGGAACCTGTCTTCATGATAAAATATCTCGCGGCATTTTGCATCTTTCTTGGTTGTGCCGTTAGATAACTTATATTCACCAGCTCTGCTTGATACGGTCATGATCATGCAACATCTAGTGACACAACTGAGGAAGATGTGAAATGCTGTGCGATATTACAGCATGAAAATATGCTTTCATGCACCAAGAAATATAATCACAAGTATAATAGTAACCGATTTACCTGTAGTCTCTTGACTTCCTGATTTACTGTATTTGCCGGCGTATTAGATTCACTGGCTTCTAAGATGCCTATTTGGCTATTTCCTCACAGTTTTGTTGGGAGAGGGGGGAATTTATACTTTCAGAACTACATTTCAAAAGTCAAATAAAAAGTATAATTCTAAAAATGCAAAATACTTGGTATTTTATAAAAAGTATTTACTTGAACAGGAATACAAATGTTATAAAATAAGAGCAATGAGAAATCACTGTTCAATATGAATAATGAACAAGTTGTCTCTGTCTTACCTGTAATACTAGCTGGTTCAAACATGCTCAGCAAGTGGATACGTCTTATTCCAGCGATAAATATCTAATCAAACACTACTTTTCTTTTAACCTTTGTTGCATCCCTTGGAAGTCAGAACAGCATGGAGAAGAAAAAAACTGTCTTGTACTGTGACAAATACAGTATTTCATGAAGTTGGTGTAGAGGAATTTTATTCTTTCTCAGTTTCTTTTAATAAGGAATTGATTGATAAATTAGAGGTATGTTTAACTCTAATTTTGTAATAAATGTCTGCAACTCTTGTTTAGTGTCCAAAGTTGAATTTTTCTGACTTGGTTGTTTTGAGAAATCTTAATTTTCTTTTATACATGTATATTGGTTGGATGCAATGTTGTGGAAACACAATTCAAAAAAGGCTTTGAACGTAAATATTGATTATTACATTCCTTTAATATAATCATCCCCCATCGGAACAATCAAACACTGTCAGCAAGTCCCTCTCTTTAAAGGTCCCACGGATATATAATTGTGAATGGTGGTGTCTCTTGTATCACAAAGCTGCCCACAAAGTGGTACATCACATGTATACAGATGATGTCCCAGTATCCTCCTCTGCTAGTTATGCAGGAGTTCTGCCAAATTGTTAGCTGCATGGCACTAATCATTGATGTGAAGAATGATGAGAATTCATGACAAAACGTGTCACTTTCATTAATTTCTGTGCCAGTGTGTAATGATGTCACTGTTGCACACCAGTAAGTTGATGTGGTATCCCAGTGCTGCAATTTTTCAAAACCTAGGATTGGTGTGTAGATTGTGTAGTACTGTTTTGTGGCACACTTACTTCTGTGGCCAACTCAAACATTTTGTTGGTGATCCACTTGCAACATGCGACCTGATGATCTTTGGAGTCATCTTAAATGGTGCAAGTCTTGTAAAGGCATCTGTCTTCTTTAAACTCTGATCCTCCATGTTAGATGCAGTAATGCTGCATCATCACATACTTCTCAGACGTTGAAAACATTCTTAAGCACTCAGACCAGATGCTACAAGTCTTGGCCAGGTTGTTAGTTTTTCCTAAACATATAGTTTGGGTACTTTCACTTACCTTGTCTGCTTAATGGTACTGCTGCCTGGTTCTGACTAACAGTCATTACCACTCACCACATTTTCTCCTCACATTCTTTTAACAGCTATGAAATATTAATGACACGGCAAATGACCTCTCGGCATGACAACAGTGTGTCTTCTACTTTGTATGCAACCCTTGTATATTTAAAGGGATGTTTATTTTTTGTTTTTTCTTGACATTAAACTTCAGGCTTTTCACTTCATCTGTGCACTTTAACCCTTTAACTACTCTAAATGAGTTATTGCGCAAAATATTGTCATGCCTTTGGTCAAGTTATTAAGCATAGTCAGATTGTTCCTGGGAACCTCTAGGCAAGATCGTATGCAGAACCTTGTATCCCAGGAGCCTCTGGAAAGTTCGCTCATGGAGACGTGCTTTCGCTTATAGCTAGGGCCTACTGATAACCAAGATGTCTTGTGCGAGTGAGCTCGGCTCAGTAATAACAGTAATAAATTTGGACTTCAGGAGTTTATTAAGAAGCAGAATTTTTCATCTTGCATATGCTTAGAAATGAATAATTATGAGCTGCAGATATAATTGAAATGAAGTAGTGGTAAAAACGTATTTAAAATTTCTTAATGATAATTTATTTGCACTAAAGTATAGGCTGACTCTAATTTTAAGGTTTCTAAGATAATATTCTTTATTCTTGTTTAGTATTTTTAGCTGTGATGTGACAGTTCTAATACCACGTGAAAAAATTATTGCATCATACTATTGTATTTTGTGATACTAATGCCTTCTATATATACATGTAACAACAGTATTGATTGATGTGTATTAACAATAATGCATTGTTTTGTGATAATTATTATGGACAGAAGAATAGAATAGTTCAAAGGTGTGTCTATGTAGTGTAATTCTAGAAATTGTATGTTGATTTATATTACAAGTTATTTCATGATAAACAATGTGATATCATTGTCAGGTGTCTTGCTGGGGAAAATATTAGACTTATTTTTGATTTATTTTTCTACAAACAGAGTGTGTGATCCACTGTAGGTAATTATCACTATTTTTATTTTACTTTTCCTTAATTTCTTAGTTGCTTCGCAATATCTTGCATGCCTTTTTTAGAACAAAAAGCAAAGTAGTTCTGAAAAATTAATTAAAAATATTGCTAATATATACTTATAATAATCATATCAGCAATCTAGTGATACATAAGAAACGTAATCCAACTTCAAAATTAATTTTGCGGGAATGTTCATAAAATGAATGGAAGAATGTGAAACTGTTCTGTCTGTTATGTTGCAGTAGAAATTTATCCATGAGTTATATATATTGCGGTTTTAATAATATTTTCAACCTTGGAAGAGGTTTTCAAGGAATTTAATTTTTGGAATTGTTGAGTAGATATAGAATTGAGCATTTTTTTTTTTTTTTTAACCATTTTAACCTTGTTTATTTATCTTTGAAATCTATTCCATCCCATCCATTTATTCTAATAAATCAGTCTTGTATGTGTAAAACTGTTCATGTTATGTTTTGTCAATTTATATCTAGTATCAATTTCTTGATTTATTATTAATGTACATCCATTTAAAGAATTAACTCTCATTTGTCTGTAAAGAAATCCTTAAAAAGTTATTTTCAAATTTAAATTACTGCCGAAAATGAACTGGTCAGTTCAGAGAAGTCATTAACCAAACTCCACATTACAACATGGATACTGATGCTACTGATGATGCATCGTTGGGCTCCTAGACTTGTGTGGCCTCGGGCAATCGCCTGACCTGCCCATGGCAATGCCCAGCCCCGGCACTGACCATTCTCTTGGGACCATGGGGTGACGGAGGGATCATAGTGAGCCGATAAAGGTGGTTGGCTCTTGTTAAAGACCAGTTTCCCAGAAACCTCTGTCACAAAGACGCGAGTGTGTATGGGAGGCCACAAGCCTGCAGGTATGAGTGCCACGCTAATGTTGAACAGTATGATCTTGATACTAAGAAGCCTACGACTTCAGTGTATTCGGTATTTGGCAGATTGTAATGGGGAGTGAAAGCCCCTGCAGTAAATGGTACAGCTTGCTTGTATATATGTAAATAAACTGTATATACCAAACACTTCTTGTCTTTAAATTGCACAAACCACAACGTCACATTCCAACACATTCTTGTAATTTTGTAAGTTACGTATTATTTTAACAGGACTTCTTCAGCCAAAAACCATCCTCGATCAAAGAGAAGATATGTGAATTCGCAATTTTCAAAGGATCATTAGTTTTAATTAAATTGGACCTATGTTTATAAATGCAATTTTGCTATATTTGTGCAAAAATAAAGTACATTTAAATTTAGAGCAATTTTTGAGAAAATCTTGTGTGGGTATTTTTTGGAAATTTGTCACAATTTGAACTGATGTCAAACCAGATATTGAAGGTATACAAAAACAAAGGGAAAAAAATCATTTATTGATATAATTTTGAATAGCCTATACTTACTTAATTAATTACAACACATATGTATGTAAATAACACTTTCTCCTGAAGTGTACGTAAAGTGTCATGTAAATAACACTTTCTCGTAAAGTGTTTTATGAAATACAGATTTATGAAAAAAGACTCCTACCTTTATACATGATTCTAATAAAACAATAAAATTATTAGTTTTCCAAATTTTTCAAGCAATGTTTCCAACTTAGGCAACGTTTTGTTTCACATCCATCTCAAAAACTATTTGTCGAATTGGAGTCTGGTTTGCTGCATTCAATTCCACGCAAAGTTTTTAACCTTTATACGTGATTTCAGAAAAAAGCAACGAAAACATGTTTTTCCAATTTTTTCACTGTCTTCCATTTTAAGCACCTTTTTTTCGCATCTATCTCCAAAACTATTAGTCTGTAATGAGTCTGATTTGCTTCATTCAATTTCTTGTAAAGTATTCCACACATATAAGTAATTTCAGAAAAAAAGCGACAAAATTACAATTTTTTCAATGTCCCAAATTAGGTAGGTTTTTTTTCCCCGCGTGAAACGCCAAATCTATTCGTCGAATTTTAGCCTGATTTGCTCCATTCAATTTATCATAAAGAGTTGTTTTTTAAAACTTTTTTAAATATCTCTGAACTTTTAGATTTATTCATTAAAAAAAACAACTGTGTGTGACATAGGGGTAGAAAAATTAGCTGCGCACGTTTTCTTGAGTTCCAGAATTGCGTCCCGTCATCTTAAGTGTAAATAGTTGTAAAATGAGTAAAAGTTTAACATTAATAAATAAAAAAATTTAAAAATCGCCCCATTTATCTTGACAATTTGAAATAACCCAAAAAATACGCGATGTACGAAAAATTGAGCTGAGACCAAATTTTAACCGCTTTGAAGGCGGAATGATTCTATGCCAAAATCAGCACACACACCCTGCCCCGAGCGGGTGGGGCGGTGGGCAACATTGAAATCTTAAATAGGAACCCCCATTTTTTATTTCAGATTCGGATTCTACGGACAAAAATACATAAGTTTTTTCTGAAACTTTTTTCTGATTTGTTATAGGCGGGGCTGTAATCGCAAAAATTTTATTTCTGAAGATTTCCAACTGTAATTGGAGTGGTTTTGAGTGTGGCCTCAGGGCACACCTGTCAATTTGGAGGTAGCGTCTCTCCATGGTCCGTCTCTACAGTACTTCAGAGACAATCCGATATTTATTAAACATTTACCTTTCTGAACTAACATTCCTCCTTGTCGCATCATGGATTATGTAAATGTGCAAGAAAAAATTGAAATGATTTTCATTTACGGCGAAGCTGGGAGAAATTTCGACGCTGCTGTTAATTTGTATGCCCAACGTTTTCCTGACAGAGTACGATCGCGTTCATTCGTTAGAATTGTTCAACAATTCTTTACTGACGGAAGTGTACAACCGAAGAAAAGAACACGTAGTTTCTACTACTGGAGAAAATAATCAAATGTGAGTACTGGCTGCAGTAGCTCATAATCCACATGCGAGTGTTCGAGAAATATCTCAAGAATCAGGGATTCCTCGTATGAGTGTTTGGAGGATACTGAAGATACATAAATTTCATCTGTATCATGTATCCTTGCATCAAGAATTAACTGACAATGACTTTTAAAACCATTACAGTTTTGTCAATGGGCAGTTCAGAGAATACAAACGAATCCGAACTTTTTTACGTAAGTACTATTCTCCGATGAATCGACATTTACAAACCACGGTGAAGTTAACCGTCATAACATGCATTTTTGGAGTGTAGAAAACCCACACTGGATTCGTCAAGTAAATCATCAGCGACCTTGGTCGGTTTACGTTTGGTGTGGAATAATTGGCGATAAACGTATCGGACCATATTTTATTGACGGTAATCTAAATGGTGACAAGTACCGAAACCTTGATAAAGAACTACCAAGAATGCTCGAAGACGCAAGTTTGGAAGTGCGTCATGTGGTTTCAACACGATGGTTGCCCTGCACATTACTCATTAGTAGCACGTGAGGCATTGGATCGGGAATACAATAATCGTTGGATCGGTAGAGAAGAACCAGTGCACTAGCCAGTCAGATCACCAGACCTTACTTCACCAGATTTCTTTTTGTGGGGTTACCTAAAAGATGTCGTTTATAATTAAACACCTACTACTCGTGAAAACATGATGCAACGAATAAGGGACGCTTGTGCCACGATCACACCAGATATGCTTATGCGATGTGTTCGTTCATTTGTAGGACGAATCAATACATGTATTGAGGTTCAGGACCATCATTTTGAGCACTTACATTAAATAAATGCTGAGGTATTTGTAGAATTATCTAAAACCAGCACTCCGATAGTCAGAGGCAAGGGGACTCACTGAAAACAAGCATCCCGAAGGGAACAGAAACGACTACGCCCACGTCGTTCCTGGGTTACGATAGAAGTAGTTTATTGACTTACGTAGAAAATACTGATTTTTATTAATCACTCAGAAATAACCGACCACGCTCAAAACCATTTAAATTACAGTCTGAAATCTTCGGAAATCAAAATTTTGCGATTACAGCGCCACAAATCAGAAAAAGTTTCAGACAAAACTTATGTATTTTTGTTCGTAGAATCCAAATCTGTAAACGGGGGTTCCTTTTTAAGATTTCAATGTTGCCCACCACCCCACCCGCTGGGGGCAGGGGTGGTGCTTATTTTAGCATAGAATGATTCCCCCTTCAAAACTATTAAGATTTGGTCTCAGCTCAATTTTTCGTACATCGCGTATTTTTTTAGTTATTTCAAGTTGTCAGTTAAATGGGACACTCTGTATATGTATGTATGCATGTGTATATATATATATATATATATATATATATATATATATATATATATATCTTAGGCATAGTTTTTATTTTATTTTATTTTTATTTTTTTTTTTTTATTTTCGCGTCTATCTCCGAAACTATTCGTCGGATTATAGTCTGGTTTGCTCAATTCAATTTCTCGTAAATTATCCCGCCTTTTCACTAGTTTTCTAAATAATACGACGAAATTAGTTTTTTTTTCCAAAATTCTCAGCAACTTTCAAATAAGAAGCACCTTTTTCTTTCGTGTCTATCTCCGAAACTAATAGTCGGGTTGGAGTTTGGTTTGCTCTATTCAATTGCTAGTGATGTGTTCTACCTACATACGGAATTTCAAAATGAAGGCACAAAAGTAATTTTTTCCATAGTTCTCAGCCAACTTCCCAATTTAAGAACCATTTTGTTTCTCGTCTATCTCCGACTAATGGTCGAAATGGAGTTTGATTGGCTTCATTCAATTTCTCATGGTGTTCTACCTACATACGTGATTTCAAAAGGAAACAACAAAATTAGTTTTGTTCCCATAATTCTCAGCCAGTTTCTCAATTAGGGCACCATTTTAATTCGCGTCTATCTCCGAAACTAATGGTCGGATTGGAGTTTGCTTTGCTCCATTCAGTTTCTTGTGAAGTGTTCCACCTACATACGAGATTTCAGACAGAAGCGTAAAATTAGTTTTTCTTCAAACTACTCAGCCAATTTCCCAATTTAGGCACCATATTCTTTCGCATCTATCTCCGAAAGTAATAGTCGGATTGGAATGAGGTTTGCTCCATACAATTTCTAGTGAAGGGTTCTACCTTCATACGAGATTTAAAAATGAAGCAACAAAATTAGTTTTTTTCAATATTTCTCAGCCAATTTTCTAATTTATGCACATTTTTCATTCGTGTCTCTCTACGTAACTAACAGTCGGATTGGATTTGGGTTTGATCCGTTCAATTTCTAGTGAAGTTTTCCACTTACATACGAGATTTCAGACAGAAGTGACACTATTAGTTGTTTTCTAAAATTCTCAACTAATATCCCTATTCAAGGACTATTTTGTTTCGCGTCTATCACAGAAACTAAGTCGGATTGGAGTTTAGTTTGCTCTATTCACATTTTAGTGAAGTGTCCTACCTACATACGAGATTTCAAGAGGAAGTGACAAAATTATTTTTCCATATTTCTTAGCCAATTTCCCAATTTGAGCACCATTTTGTTTCGCGTCTATCCCCGAAACCAATGGTTGGATTGTAATTTGGTTTGCTCCATTCAATTTCTTCCGAAGTGTTCCACCTACATACGTGATTTCAAAAAGAAGCGACAAAATTAGTTTTTATCCAAAATTCTCAGTTTCCAAATTTATGCACCCTTTTCTTTCGCATCTATCTCAGAAACAAAAAGTCGGATTGGAGTCTCGTTTGCTTCATTCAATTTCTAGTGAAGTGTTCTACCTACATACGATATTTCAAAAGTAAGCGACAAAATTAGTTGTTGTTCTTTTTTTTTCGAGACTCTTAACCAATTTTCCAATTTAAGAACGTTTTTGTTTTGCGCCTATCTCAGAAACTATATGTCGGTTTGGAGTTTGGTTTGCTCCATTCAATTTCTCGTAAAGTGTTCTACCTATATACGTTATTTCAGAATGAAGCGACAAAATTAATATTTTACCAAATTTGTTACGTAAATTGGGGTTGTTGTTTGTATATCAACTTAGGCTTCGTTTTGTTTCGCGTCTATTTCCGAAACTATTAGTCGAATTGGAGTCTGGTTCGCTCCATTTAATTTCTCGTAAAATGTTCTACATATATACATGATTTCAGAAAGAAGCCGCATAATTAAAATTTTTCGAAAATTGGCTCACATTTTACTTCATTCTGACTAGACGTATTAAAGGAAGTTCGATTTAGTGTAGGAGCAAGCATTGCCATTTTTCCATTTCAGGGCACCCTAATTACGTGCTTTTCTGATGAAATTCATCGCGATGAAAATCGTAAAATAGAAACGCTATTTTAACTGGTAATAATATTTCATAGAAACGTAGAACAGTATTTCAGGCGGAATTTATACGTTTGTTTAATTCATATCAGAGTATGAAAACCATATCCCAATGTCAGAGGGAAAGCTGTTTTGTTGAGGGAATATCCTTAATTGTAAATATTGCTTCTTGACATCTAGAAAGCGAAGCGCTTTCTCCAAACAAAAATTGCACTCGCTTCTCCTATGTCGCCTGTAGAGACATCACCGCAGAAACGACTGGGGATCGCATTCTGTGGAAAGCAAGTCGTGCACTACAAGCGATTGCAGATGTCAAGCCTTTTCCCATCGGCAGCAGGCTGTCTCAGGTTCATGCCAAGAGGTCTCGGCATAAGTGACGCAACCGGGTATTTGGATCGAACAGTTCGTTTCAAGTAATCTGTAAATATTCCGCATCAAATGCGGTCATGCAAAACGTTGTGAATGAAGCAGAAGCCACAAAAACTTCCAAATATTTCAGTTACTTATTACTCCTAAAGTTACATTTGACTGGAAGATAAATGTATTTTTCCAGATCGATGAAATATGTCAATTGGAACTTGTTTATCGTCTGAGAGGAATTGCAAACCTATAGAAGTTGACTTATTATTCTTTCCAATGTACGAGTATATTAGTATGATGATATTCTTCAACTAATAGATTTGATTACAAAATTTGTTTGTGTGAAAAATTCAATACTAAAGAATATTGTAATACATGTCTGCCAAAAGTATATAAAGAAGAAAAATGTCAACAAAATGTCCAAGAAGGAAAACAGCAACAGAGATATTCAGTCAAGAATGACGAAGCCCGGCGTAATGGCTTCAAGAAACACATTTCAACGAATGGTACTAGTTTTAAGGAATTCGTTCCTGGATATCACCTATGAAGAAATAACATTCAACTTCCAAGAAATAAATCTCTTCGAAAATCCTTTTTTGACCAAAATTTGCACAAAATGGCCGATGACACTAAAATTAAATCGTCTTTTGTCAAATACTTTAATACATCTTTTTAAAAAAGATGTCAGTCTAAGTCTTTAAATGATGAGAATCAAGAAAAACCTTTTACTCCAAAGCCAACAAGACGTCCGATTGCAATTTTTGATAATGAAATCAAAGAAAAGGAAACAACTTTAGGAGGAAGTAATCACTTCTCCCATAATGCTGCAGAAGACGGATCGGCTGGGAAGGAATGTTCAAGAAATTCGTGGCAGCTTTCCGCGTAAGTAACACGGCCATCTTGACAGGCAAGGGGGTTGATTCCTCAGCCTATCGTTGCCTCTGCGAGGTAGCAACTCCTCTGAAGAGTGTGCTGCTGCTCCTGAAGACGATTCTGGAAGAGGACTTCTTGGAAGAGAACGAAGAGGGGGAGGCGGACGGAGGAGAAATTGACGATCGTGTGGTGACGCGCAGTGCAGCGCTGCTGGAGCGCATTGATGGCGTCGGGAGCGCTGAGGGCGTCCGAGGGCGCTGGTGGGCGGGCGCAGCTCGCTGCGGCCGCTGAAACAATCACGAGTACACACAGCATAAAAATGGTCGACCAAACTGCGTATCAATTAGAGGGAACTCGATAAAAACAACCACTCATAATGATTTGCATTAAAATAATATATTAGCAATTGTTTATGTAATATAAAAACAGGTATGTATAGAATGTTGCCTAGTTTAAATCCGCGCTTGAAAGCAAGGGATTGAATTGTATCCTCTGCAGTCGAAATAAAGCAGAAGAAAATATACGAATCCATCTCAAGAATTGTCTTATATCATTTATGGCAAGAATTGATAATTGTTATCAACCAAACGTCTGTCTAAAAAAGCTTAAAAAAAGCATATCAAAATTGTTGTTTAATTAATATTTCCGCGTGAGAAGTCCCATACTAATAGGAAACAAGTGGTGCTGCAGAATGACTCAGTCTTTCTCGTACTATTTAGTTAGCTTATATCTCTAGTCTGAGCTATCTATTCGGTTTTCTTTCTCCCTGCTTCCTTTCTCGGCTGCCGTCTTAAACGTGTTTATATACGTTTGATCCATTTACCGTTTAACTGCTAATATAATTAAAATATTTCTGTAAGAATTTTCAATAGAAGAGTATAATCCGATCCTATATGGACATATTCATTGGACACTTTGTAGCTGTTTTTAAGAAAACGTCGTTTGACCTTTTCTGAAAAAACACATTTTGAAGTTACATACGCTCGAGCTATCAAGAAACTTCATAAGAAATAATTTCACTCTCACAATACAACATTAAAATGATACATATGTATAATTTATATAATTTTGTAAGAAAACAAAAGAAACGAAGCATTTACGTCATGTTATTGAGTACATTTATCATTATCCATACAAAGAATTTACAGAGTGCATTTGGAGACATGTTCGAAAAAATGTCTTTTGAGCGTTTCCGAAGATGCTAAATTTTGAACTAATTTTCACTGAAAAGTTTGCATTTTTCGAGAAACGATGTAAAACATCATTTGAACAACTTGCCCTCACAAATGCATTAATATGTACAAATCATCGCTACCGTAAATATTAATGACATAAGATGGCAAAAAATTGCAGTTGTATATATTTTTAAATTACAAAAGAATACAGGGAAACGAGTAAAGGAACCCTGCGCCATGATGACTAAACGTACGCGTATCTCGCTCTATTCTTACAAATACATATTTGAAGCTACTTTTGAAAAATTGGAAATTGCCCAAGAGCTTCACAAAATTTAAATTTTTTTAAATCCCTAATCCTCGAGCCGGGCCAGATTTACCGAGGATATTCACATTGGGAACGATCCTAAGATTAGTTAAGGCGCTAGTGTTGTCACAGGCGGATAGACAGAGATGGACGTTTGGAGAAAAAAGACACACACACACACACACACTATTTCAGTATCAGTAGAACCCAAAATGTGTTTTCGTTGAAATTTCGAATTCGATTTTCCGGAAGATTTCATAAAGTTTCTCTTTACTACATAATTTTCTCCATATAAAGTACGTACATATCATACAAATTAAACAGCTTTATTGTGTTTTCGGTATAGGAAAATGCCCAATAAATGATAAACGTTATGTAATTTTCGAAAATCGGAGAATTTAGCTGCTGTGCGCCGCATTTAAAACGTATATTTAAAAGATTTTCTATTTTGATTATTCGAAAAAAATTGAGCATTTTCGAGAACATTTTGAAATGTCGTTAGTGTTTTCTACAAAATTCCTCCAGAAATCACAATACCCGCTTGAATTTCGCTGGGACATTGGCCAATATCTATTTCAGTGAAAATCCTGTCTAGGATTTACACGCTAACGTTCTCCACAGATGTTCAGACGTTTTGCCGCAGACCGATATTTGAGAATCAAGCACACACAAATTTTACTTTCTCGCCTTGCGAAGTTCTTCGTTAGAAGAGAAAATTACGTATTCGTACGCAGGAAAACAGGGATCGCTGATAAAATAATAACACTGCTCTAGGATAAATAGTAATTCATTTTCTTTTCATTTAAAATTATTTGTGAATAAATTTGTAAATCAATGAAAGTTTGTGAACACCACTGAACTGTATAGTTAACATCAGAATTTATAATTATTTAGAGAATACTTACAGGTGAAGTACTTTAATACCAATTGAAACAACTTGTTTAAATTTCAGTTTTCCAAAATTTTATTTAATGTATTTGAATATATAAATAATTGACAAGGCACAAATATAATCTGTGAATGTTCAGATTTTAATACATTAATATTTGACTTCAGTTTTAGAAGTTCAGTACTTTATGTCATAAACAGGTACAAGTATTTACGAATTATCACCAGACATCTGCAAACTGATATCACGATGGTGTCTCATTTGAATTGCCTGCTTCATTCGTAACTGATACTTTAACTTTGATATTTTTTCCTTCAATAGTATTGGATCAGTTACTAGCTCTTTGTGTGAAATTCGTAATAACCAATCGTGAAGTAAATCATGCCAGGTATTATAGTTTATTTGTTGTGTGTGGTCTTTAAAAGTAACAAGATCACAGTGAAAGAGAAACATGCTTACAATTTCCAAGTAACAAAATATTTCCAGGAAAGTAGATGTTTCAATAATATTTCTTTTCTCAGAAAGCAATGTGGATACTGCTTTCAAATTAACTTCCAGGCAGTATGTTATCTTTGGGCAACCAAGGAATTGTTGCAAAATAGCAAATCCTAGAGGAAACCCAAAACAAGTGCGATAAAAAATCTGTGTGCATATCTCTGTTTGTTGTATTAAGGAAAGATTTTTTATATGTACATCTTTCACTGACACTCTTCTAGGCATAAGTTCCTTAGGTGCATGACTTACTCCAGTCAGAAAAATCGTAATATCAATAATAGAAAGCTGCAAGGAACTGGAGTAGATTTTCATATCAAAATACAGTCTCAAAAGAGGTTCAATCAAATAAAGAAAAGTGTCTGGAGGTTGACGTCTAACAATAGATGTCAAGTATAAGAATATAAATGACATATTGTGTTCCTTCACTTCCCCATTCACTTCAGGTCTTTTATCCTCAAAACAACTGTGTAATCCTGTATATATATCTGGAACAGTTTTATATAAAACTTGTAAATCATAACCCCAATTTCGGAATACATTGATAAAATCAGTGAAACATGGAGAAAAACGACTTTCATTAATCAATGTACGGTAACAGAAATTCACAGCATCATATTTAGGGTGAACTGACATAATCAAGAATAGGAAAAAACATATTCCTTCTTGATCTTCTGGACTCCACAATGATGGATCAAATACACTACGATTCACATCATCAAAAGCAGAAGAGACCAATTTTGGTTTTCTCTCTAAAGAACATTTCTGTAAAAAATTGCCCAATGTAAGAGTTTTGTGATTGAATATTTTCAATGATAGTTCATGATTTATTATCTCATATCGCGATGCATTTTTAACAGTAAATTCTTCAACTTTCATCTCTTTAGCTTTTCTGAAGATGAATTGAACATCTTCATCTTCTGACTTTACATCTTTAATTCCAAAAGTTGTAGTAGTGCTTACTTTTGTTTCATCTTTCTTCAAAAGATCATCTAACTTATCCATTCGAGCAAAGAATTCTTCATCTTTCCTGCGTTTTGCACGTGCTTCTTCTACATTAAATTCCACTTTCTGAGCTTCTTTTAAGTTCGGAGTCCAATTAAATCCATATGATGGAAGATCATCTTCACTGTCGGAATGTAAATTATCTACATTGGTGAGGCTGTCAGTTGCATCTAGTATAGGTGACTTGTCAGCAAACACATTGTAACTTGAATTTTCATCCATATTCATACTGCTTGTCATAGCAAAAGCAGGATATATTTCATCCATGATCGTGAATTTCCCACGGCTTTCATTCAGTGCGTTTCATACACCATCAGTTTAGTTATATGCTGACGAAAATAATGTTTAATTTCAATATTACTGAAAATATGGAATTATCGCATTAACAACACTTTTATGTTCCGTTTAAGTCCGTCATTCTAATTATTTATTTACTCTTTAAACTCAAGAGTGCTTTTCACGTGATCCGTAAAGTTGTTTCTCACTCACATTCAGCTCAATCCACAATTATCATTCTGCAAATCGTTGAAAGACACCGGCATAGATTAATACTTATTGATCAATCACATTTTCACGTGGCTCATAAATGATCATGACACGTTCTCATAACAAGATCAAGTTTATGACAGGTGTCACAATTTGTCACAATACTGTCACGAGCTTCATGTGGTGTATTGTAAGTGTTGGTTTATTTACTGTTTATTCCTTATAGCCAGAGAGTTTGATATTTATCTGCCATGGTCGCTTCTATCAACAGTTAAACCAACTGTATGATGGACGTACTTCGACAAATTGAAATGATTGCAATAAAACGACAACGACGAGGTTGAATATACATCATATTTTCTGTTAGTAAAACATTGAAAATGACATTTTGAAGTGATGTGATCGAAATTTTGAATATATTCACTAATGTATTTAACACTACATTACAATGCATTTGTTCGTGAATGTGGCACCTACTGGATGATTGAAGGGTTAAGGAGGGAAGGCCAAGAGGTGGCAAGAAGACTGGATCAGGGCTGATTGTGTTGTGGGTGGTCGCGGGGTTAAGGGCACGGTTTTATGAGACTGGTATCTAGTCGTTTTCTTGTAGGGGGCTTAATTAGTGCAATTAGTTATTAAATTCTGTATGTAAAATGTCCCAAAATAATGATAATTCTTCGTCACTGGTTTGCTGCGTTTCATTAGAATGGCAAAACAACGATAAAGGTGTAGTGCGTCGAGCTAATTTGAAAACCGTTACTTTGCGACTACTTAGGAATGAATTTCGTGAAATATTTCTTGCTGTATATGAAAAGACAGAAGATTCTGCGTGTAAAAAATTTCTCCTGAAAAACTTTGCAGTTCATAAGAAATTTATGAATGAAGGAAAAGCAACCATAAACTTCCATGAATTGCATATGAGTGTAATGATATCAAATGCACCTCCGACTCAACTAGTTAATTTTTTAAAGCATTTGTATATAAAAATGTGCGGTGGTAAAAATGAAGAGAAACCTGGACCTCGAGCACGCTTGTTGTCTGGTAAAGCTCGTGTGTTGGAAGAAATAAGCCCTGTTACTCTACAAGAAGTTAATGGAGTGAGAAAACCCAAACAACAGGCACCAGATTCCACTCCTCCTACTGGAAAAAAAAGAACTTCATCAGGAATACTTTTGAATAAGGTAATTCCATTTCACCTGAATTTTCTTTTGAAATTTTTAATTGGTTATTTCTTGTAATCCACACACATTTATTAATCTATACCAGTTTTCATTCTTTAAACTGGGGGTGTTCACAACAGATCTGTGAAATACAAGCCATGTCAATTTTATATTCCTTAATTACTGCGATGCATCAGTCTGATCTTTCAAGTATTCCTTCGTTGTATTTTTCTGAGGACACCTGACCTTCTTTTTTCTAACCTTTCACTGATTCGTTTCCAGTGAGCAATTTGAAACTTGATTACTGTGCTTCAGGGTACCTATCTGATATGTTCCTTACTGGCGCCAGTACATTTTGAGCCATGGCCTCATGGCCTAAGCGGTACACATCATGGAATTATTTTCAGCCATGTCTATGACAAGTACCTAATCAGAAAATATAATCATTATCTGGGATCAACTGTCACAATTTCTTCCCAAAAAGAAGATGTGCAGGAGCCATCTGTAGGGAAATGGTAAAAATTGTAAACCTTGCAAAATAGAAAAAAGACAACGACTTTTGAAATATTTTTGTGAAAAATGTAAAATATATGTTTGTTTAGAACATGACAGAATCATTTGTGGAAATTGTATTTAATGTTATTTAGTAAGACAAGATGTTTATTGTTTTTTGCGGATGCTTTGCCAATTTTTACCTTTCTTATCATTTGTATTCAGACAAGTTTTCTGCAGTGTAGAATTCATTAACAATTGCATTGGGGGACATGCACAAACTACATAAAATTCATAATTTAGTAAAGAGTGCTTCAAATCATTCGCATTCACAAAAAGTTTTAACTGTATCTGAGAGAGATACATTGCAGACACTGGTGTGAGTATCAATTGTGGACACTCCCAGGTTAAAGCAGAGTGATATTGTGTTGGCTTTGTTGTGTATCTGAAGCCCTGGTAATTTGTTTTAAGGCTGTAAAAAGATCGTGTCTCTCATCGTACATTGATCCTGCCCCTCTAACTTCAGAACAGAAGAATGTCCTTAATGAGGCCTTGGCTGGAAGGAATTTATTTTTTACGGGTATGTGGATGAAAAAACTGAAAAATTAACAAATATTAAGGGTTAATTTTTGCATGGAATTTATTTCTATGGTTGTAGAATTTGTAGATATAATTGTGTATTTATGTAGAACTTGCTTTGTCCTCTGTTGGGTTATCCATAGGTAGCGCTGGTACTGGAAAATCATATTTGTTGCGGCGCATCATTGGAGCCTTGCCTCCTGATTCAACAGTAGCAACTGCTAGTACGGGAGTAGCAGCATGTCATATTGGTGGAATGACATTACATTCATTTGCAGGTAATGATATAAACACTTCAGAAATCTTACAGGTATTTTTTTGTTTCCTTAGAATGGAATCCTTCCTACAAATTATTGTAATGGGAGAAGTCTAGGATTTAGAAATGCCCTACAAATTTTGGAAATTTGCTCTTTACTTTTGTTTTTTGTTGTTTACATAACAAAGTTGCACGTAAATTAACATTCTGGCCTGCTTAATCTTGTCTTAAAAAATATTTTTATGGGGCTCCAAGCAAATACAAAATTTGGTTAAAGTAGGGTACACAATACATCCATAGAGAAGTACGGGGGAGGGGGGAATGGGAAGGAGGAGTCTCTTTAAGCCCTCCCTCAAATTATGCTAAGCGTTGTGACAGAAATGAATAAATGTTTAATTGGCTGTCCGGGTGATGCCGCGTCCATAGCAAAGAGGCCGACGTTTCATTTGCCATTCTGCAACCTTCCTCGGGATGTAATGTGAGCATGTTCGCATTTCACTCTGAGCTACATACTGACTCTGACCACGGAAGCCTTCGCTCTCAGAAATGAATAAAACTTACCAATATGCGATTTTTATGGCAGTTTGACTGACAGTTTTATGACCCAAAGATAGGTCATTACTAATACCTGAATCATACTCAACTTGCTTCCTGCAAACCATGACCCCTTCCACACGGAACACTTACGCACAAGAGGAGTGGCCCCGTTCTTGCTATACTTCCACTCGAAACCATCACACAACTTCTTTCCCCTGGCCAACCTCTTAGGACACTTTACACACGGACACTTACACACAGGACAACTTACCACACAGGACACTTACACACAGGACACTTACACACAAGGACACTTAACACACAGGACACTTACACACAGGACAACCTTACACACAGGACACCTTACACCCACAGGACACTTACACACAGGACACTACACACAGGGACACTTACACACAGGGACACTACACACAGGACACTTACACACAGGGACCACTTACACACAGGACACTTACACACAGGACACTTACACACAGGACACTTACACACAGGACATTTAAATCCTGCAGCAATCAAATCATGTTCTTGCACCCATTCAATGACAGCATAACACTCACTTCGGCGCAACACGTAAAAAAAGCCACATGTATTCTTACCATCATAGCACAGACCCTTGGCACTCAAATCACAAAGTATTTGAAGAAAGCAAGAAAGTTAACTGTATTACAGCTACACAACACAGAAAATCACATAGACAAAAACACGATTTACGTGCTACCCCACACCATTTCATAATGAAGTTTGAACAAGATACTAGGGTGAAATTTCCTCCCCTCCCCTTTTGACATCACGTTCATGACCAATTACAAACCATTAAAATTATTTTGCAAGTGTAGTTTTTACATTTTATTTAAACCGCCCAGTCTTTGTGTTGTGCGTATTGCTAACCGCTACCTTCCTCCGAAAGGTTCCTCTTATAACACCCCTCAACTCTTCCACCATGGATATCTCCCTTGCCGGAGCGCCACGCAGTGCGATTTAAATGACTTCCTTAAGTTGTACTTTATACTTGACTTCAGCCCAAAACCTAATGAATTTAATATAGATGTGAGATAATAAAGTATATTTTGGACAAGTGATTGAATAGTAGTTGTTTTGATATGAGTCATAGAAAAAATGCCTTTGATATAATGAGAGGTAATAGCATATTGCCTGAAATGAAGGCTAGTTTTCAGCTATCAAATATTGAAACCTTGTTGATTAAATTCTGCAAAAAAAATATTTTTTTTTTTTAAATTGAAGGATTATGTAGTATGTCTTTGTAAAAGAGCGAAGATACCTGTCAGAAACTTAAGAATGTGTGTGTGTATGGAGCGAGTGTGTGCACATGTGCACAACATGTTTTCTGTAGAGTTTGTTGAAGAACAGAATTTTCAAAAGATATAAGATATAAAAAACTTACTCAGATATAATAAAAAAATATTTACTCAGATATAAAAAAAAAATTTTTGTTGACAAGATTTTAATAAATGTGTTGGATTATGTTCTGCTGAAGCAAGAAATGTCCAGAGGTAAACAGAAAGCTTTTTCAGCACTGCCTGTGTATTCAGTTGTTTTGAAGCAAAGCAGAGGCTGTCACACAGTCAGATCCTATGATCTTGTGGGCCTGTTGTTAGAACTTGAAGGGTCATGATCACAGTTTATAAAGATACCCTGTATATTCTGTTTTATAATGAACTTGTTTCAAATAGGATGATTTGAAATTTACCTAGATGTGCTCCATTCTTTCTCGCATTACTTGGAACAGATACATAATATACTATTGCTCTTTCTGCCCTACTAACACTTCAGAATCTTGATTCTGAATTATTGTAAATCTCCTTGAAAAAGTCCAAACCAATTCAAATCTAACTTTGGTTGTGCATATTTGCAACGATAATTTGGATAGTCTTGAATTCTAGTTGTTCCTCCTACAAAAGAAATTAACACAATTAAATCTCAAATGTTGGCATTTGCAGCACATTTTATGAATAAGCAAGGATAATTAAAAAAACAAGCTTGCTTTGATTCCTTCTAAGTGAGTTTCCAATTTTTGAAATTCATATTCAGCAATCAAACCTTTCTATGTTTAAAAAAAAGTGTATAAACTTCCAGAACTGAAGTATATATCCCAACATATCTTATGAATTCATATAATGGGTAAGGGTGCAAATCTCATCACCTTTTATCAAATATTATATCTGCAACACTAGAGAAACATTTGTATGAAACTAATTCTTTGAAAGAAAATCATCATCACAACATTTGAACATTTCCTCATGTAACATGTAACAACAGTGTGATTGTGTATGTTCCATTTATAGAATTGTAACTTATTCTGCACATTCCGTACTTTTGTATTGCGTGAATGTGGGAATGCGTATGCATGGGGGTGTGTGGTTAGACTTGTCACCTGTCTAATGTTTTTCTCTAGAAAATTTATATTATGCTTCAAGCAGGAGGGTGAAAATATTTTTTAACAAGTGGAGAATTCATTCTTTGCTGTCCAGGATGAGCCATGTCTAAGTCGATCGAGCTGATGTTTCGGATATCACGTTGTAGTCTTCTGAGACTCGGTTCATTCCGGACAGCCAAGAATAAAGTGACTCTGGCTGTAGAAGCTTACGAATCCAAGTGAATATTTAAAAAAGTGTCTAAATATTAATATTTATGTAACAATAATAAATAACAACAATAAATTCTTTCAAATGAACAAATCAATCTAACTATTAATCTAAAATTTTTGTTTATAACAAAACTATCAATCTCATTTGAATTTTTTTTAGAAATAAATTTAAATAAATGTGTTCTCAGTGGTCTTTCATACCTTAACAAATCTATTTCACTTGAAGATGAATGGAAAGTCTCCTTTTTTTTATAATACAAATTTGTGATCGATTTGAATCAAAATACTTTTTGGAAGAAAAAAATAAAGAAGAAGAAAAAAAAATAAACATAGAGGAAATAATTCACAACAAGATTTAGCCACTTTTCTGTTTCCAAGCACAGCAATAGGAGGTTTTGTATTGAAAAATGAAGGTTTTTCCACGTTTCAGTACTTTCTCTATGTTGCATCAGTATTAAACAATAATGAAAAGCAACTGATGATGCCACTTTTTATATATATGTATTTTCTCTTCCAACAAATGAACATTTCATACCTTGGTTCCAGATCTGTTCAAGAATCCCATTTCTTTATGTATTTAATTAGTTTGTTGATACAGTATAACCTGTCTGAAAAATAACCAGATGGATTCTTCAGAAAATTCCATCTTCGCAGGTTTCTATCTTTAGAGGGTTGCCAGATATTCACCATATATCTTAAGTACAGTATTTTTGATATAAATTTGCTAGTGCATAAAATAATAAAAATGAAACATGGTTTATCAATAAAAATATTACCGGCAATATAAAGAATAAACAATAAAACACAAGTTAAATATAGGAATATTTAACTTGAGACTCACAATAGACTATTTAACGTTAAACAAAGCATTTATTTCGCAATTCAGAAATGCAACATTGTTTGTCAAACTGGTCAACAAATATCAAAGTTTTGAAAATTATGCAAATAATTATATTTTCAGATTCAGCATGATATAGAAACAAAAATGTGTTATTTTCTATCTAAAAATAATCCAATTTTTTTAAGGATTATAATAAATTTTCCTGTATTGCTTTAAAAAATTCCAAACTAAGACTGTATACATAAAGTTTCATCTAATAGTTTTTTAACACTTGCTTACAAATAATATTAATAAAAAAGTAAATGAATTAAAAAATAATGTTCATGAACTCTAGCCGTTAGTCATCTTCACCCAAACCATCTTTATCTACGGAAAGGATGTAAGTGGAAAACAGATAAGGATGTGCAAAAACTACTTGGCTATCAAGCTGTTGACAAATGGAACACTCCACCAGCAGACATTGTTATATTAGGCACTATTTAACTATGCAAGATGAAACTAAATCATCACTTTCATTCAGTATTACATCCTTGATGTACACAAAAAGAGTGGTACAGTTATATTGTGTTATAAACAACGGATTTTACCAATCGGTTCATTGCAATTAATAAATATATTTTATCGGAGAAAATAAATCATATTCAAAAGGTAAAATTTCTTTATACTTTCAGGTATTGGCAGTGGACAAGCTTCAGTTGAAAGATGTATTCAGCTAGCTTCAAAAACAGCAACTTACCAAATGTGGCGAAAATGCAAGCATCTGATTATTGATGAAGTGTCGATGGTACAAGGTTCTTATTTTGAGGTATTTAAATTGCACTCTCTTTTATATTGTTGCACTTTCCTTGGTTAGGTAACATACTGTAAAATAATTTTTCAATTCTACAGAAGTTGGACAAAGTTGCAAGAGCTCTGAAAAACAATGATCGTCCTTTTGGTGGAATACAGTTAATATTGTGTGGTGATTTTCTTCAGCTCCCACCTGTTACTCGAGATACAGTAGATGACAAAAGATTCTGTTTTCAAAGTTCTGTGTGGGACGAATGTATTCATGCAAGTTTTGAGTTAACTCAGGTTCATCGTCAGTCTGATCCTGTGTTTATAGATATTTTACAGAACATTCGTATTGGCAGGTATGTTCATAGCTTCATGAATTCTTATTCATTGTTGGAAATAAAAAGTTGTCTCATTTTATTTATTCACTTTGCCTTTGTACTCCCATCCTTCCTTCCTTTCTACTCCTCTTTTTCTTTCTTCCTTTCGTTCTTCCTCCTTCCTCCTTCCTATCTTCCTTTCTCCTTCCTATCTTCCTTTCTCCTTCCTTTCTTCATTCCTCCTTCCTTTCTTCATTTCTCCTTCCTTTCTTTCTTCCTTCCTCCTTCCTTCCTTCTTTTCTTCCTTCCTCCTTTCTTCCTTCCTCCTTCCTTTCTTCCTTCCTCCTCCCTTTCTTACTTCCTTTCTCCCTTACTCCTTCCTCTCTTCCTTCCTTTCTCCCTTACTCCTTCCTCTCTCCCTCCATCCCTCTCTCCCTTTTTTTCTTCTTCTTTTTTCTTTCTTCATTCCTCTTCCCCCCTTTCTTTCTCCCTCCCCTTCTTTTGTGATATCGGTGTAATCTATTAATATAATTGTTTGTTACTGTACTGTGGTTGTAATTTGTTGCTTACATGTTTAATTACTAAAAAGGTACCATATTTATGCAAATATAAAACAACCCCCTACTTTCGAAGAGGCTCGAGAATTTTTAAAATTTTTACCTAATTCTTACTTTTATCAGATGCCACCTAATAACAATTTCTTCTGTTTCCGGATTTTCTATTTGTCCCGCACTTGTTGATTGCATCTTTCTTTAACGATTCAAAACATTGATTCGCTCTTTGCTGGGTGTTGAGATGAGATTCCATATGGCCTCGTTGAAACCACATAGTGCAACAAACTCTTGGCATTCGTTTTTACATTACGTTTCATTTGATACAATGTCATTCCTTTGAGATTCTCTCTCTACTGATCCATTTAAAATCATCTGCCTGAGTTGGCTGGTGGATGCCGAGAATATGACCATGAATATAATTATTGTAGATACAATATTTTTACTGTCTTAGCACTTTATTTTTTATGCCAACATTACAAGTTTTATGACATGGAATGGCAGTTTAAAAACTTGAACCTTAACAGACTAGGCTTAATCTGCGAATATATAACAACCCGATTTTCGACTGACATATTTAGGAAAAAACCTTTTCTCAAATTCGGGTAAATATATTTATTTATTGATTTTGAAAAGACAAATTACAAACATCTCTTGTGTAAATAGTAGTTTTTAAAATTGTGTTTCCAATAAACATTTTTACATCAAAGAGTTCTGTTAACATAAAAATATTCAATATAAGCAGACAGAAATGTTTTCGTTATAGATATATCAAAACAATTGTAGCCTAGTAGCTATTCATGTGTTTTTGAAATATTAGGTCTATTGATTCTAGTAAATTTTCTGGCAATTTATATTTTTGTGTTACTTTAAAAATATTTTGTTGCATTTTTCAAATTAAAAAGACAAATTTAAAAGGCACCCTTAAGGTCGTAAGGTCATAAGCAACAAAAAGCTAAGACTGTATAAAAAGAAAAATACAACTAAAGGGGGAAGGAAATTGGTTAATGTTAAAAAAATATTAAATTTATTTAGCTGCTTAGATAGCTTAATATTGCTTTCTAATCATTTCAGAATTTCTTGAAGTCTTGTAGGCAGGAAAGCATTCTTGTAGTATTGCCTCTTATACCAATTGTTTCTCTTCAATATGTTGTGTTCAATTAGTATCCTTGTAGAAAGCCAATTTTTTGCGATGATTGCATGAAGTGTTAGTAGTATGTGCTCTGCCTTTCAATATGTACATCAGTGAATTGTGAATTTCAGAGTTACAGATGAGATATCTGAAAAATTAAATGCAACGTCAAAACAAAATATTAATAAAGAAGGTATTCAAGCAACTAGATTGTGTAGTCACACAAAAGAAGCAGAAATAATTAATAGCAACAAATTAAAAGCTCTGACAGGTAAGAATTTATGTTAAACAATTCCAAAGGACTCTTAAAATTGAACTCATAAGGGAACTTAATTTTATACTAAACAAATTCCTTTTTTAATATCACGTTTTAATTTGGATGATTCAATGGACATAGTGGCTCAAAGGTGCAGTAAGTGTGTTTGAACTTGGTTGAAGTCCTCCATTTGTAACCATTTGGTTCTGATGATTCCCACCCAAGACAATGGAAAATGGTACTTGGTTGTCATGTTGAAGATAGGCGAGTGTGTTGGGTATGCTTCAGATGCTTCGTCCTTAGTGTTTAAAAGCTCCAACAAATTGCACTGATGTCTGCTGAGGGCAGTGGTTGATTGTTCACTCAATCAAATGATATAGGCATTGAAAAAATATAGAAGTAAGTTTTCTTGAAAATTCTGCAAATGTTTTGAAATGCAGAACACAAATTTCAACTCAGCCACGTTAAATGTATGCAGTAAATCAAATGGAGGAAAGAGAGGGAGTTCCTTTTACACTTATAATTTGATAAATACGCACTTTTAAAGTAAAGTGTTCCTATTCACACACAAAATTTTAACACCAGCAATAAATCTTCTGCCAATGAATTTGTAGTATTGAGCTGCATTATACAATCTGTTCCAAAAATTATTTAAAAGTAAATTGATATACTATTTTAATTAGAAAGAAACTGATAATCAAATTTGCACGGAGTCTTTTGTAATAAAGGTATATCAATATCAAGGTAAGAGTAGGACCAATATGTTAAAAAAGGTGATAATTTCATTGTCTCAGGTTTTTAACAAATTTCAATGAAAGAGGACACATGTGTGGCTATTAGAAATCATTTAAATGAATGTTGTTCTCTGAATTCATTTCAAAACATTGAAGAATTTTTATAATTTACATTGACTCACTGCTCTAATTATCATATGTGTACAAAAAATGGCTGATAAGGGAAATTTAATGTTAATTTTTGTTAGGTTTCTCAATAATATAAACATTTTTTATACTGGGTGTTTCAAATCAGGTGGAGAAAACAGTTAGAAAAATGTTGAGAATAGCAATGCAAACATTTTGTGTCGTGGAACGTTTTGTCAAGAGTTGATTATCAAATCTACCTGAATATAAGTCGACATGGAATATATGACAAAACCCTAATTTTGAAGAGGACACCTAAGAATTTTTAAGTAATTCTTACCATTTATGGGATTTTGAATAGGCAATCGCCCAATATATTAAATATAATACATCTGTACTAATAAAAGTGAATTGTGTAACATATAATCGACACGATTTCACAAAAAGGAGTGAATTAGTAGATACAAAATATTTATAGGCTCTTCTTCCGGAATTGACGCAGTGTCCTTTGCAAAGTTTTCTAAAGATTAATACAATACAAACGTGCAAAATAAATAATTTAAATATGCTAATAGATGTATCACGATCATTATTTTTTGCCTGTTGCTAAGATATAATTTCCAAATATATATTCCGCCAGAGGTCAGCAGCAGTGTAGTAGAACCATATGCCCAATCTCCATGAAAGATGGCACACTAATTGCTTTTTCACACAGAAGGTTTTTGTGCTTGTAACTATGTGTTGTAACTATGAAATAGCACTGTAGCACAATATTGCGCTTAATTTTAATTCAGTTTTCATTCAAACTTGGGTCCACCTGGGCTTCATTGTTGCTGGCCGTTGCCTTGTGATGCAGGGCGAGGCTGAGGACAGGACAGGTGGTGCGAGAGAGGAAGAGATACCAATACAGACAGAGATATACAAAGATACGCTGGGAGAAAAAGATACACAGAGACAGGGACAGACAGACGTACATGCAGAGAGAGAGAGAATAGTGGAGGGTGATGGAGAGCAGGGCGTCTGCTGGATTCCGCTAGTAATGTATAATACTCAAGTTCATGCTCATTTAAAATCATTTAATAATTTACTTTTTACTGTTGCAATAAATGTACTTTTTAAAGTTAAAAGGTCGATGTTATAATTAATTGCAAGTGTAGTCATAAGATACATTGAACTAGAAGTATTTATCTGTTTAAGCTACTGGTAAAGAGTGGTCTCATCAATTCTTCTCAGTTCTTGTGGGGAAATTTTCCAGTTTAATTTTGAAAGTAATATATCAGAATCAGTGGTTATTTATAAGATCATAGAGAAATATGTAGTGAAGATACTTCCGGTGTGATTGTAATGAACTCTCATTTAAAATAGATATTTGTTCATAATTATGCGACACAGAAGAAAGTTTCCACTTTACATGGTTTAAAAGTGCATGCTGTAAAGATTCTAATTTATTTATGCAGGTGGCATAAAAGGGTGTCCAAACAGGCAAAGCAAATTAAAGTATAGGTCAAATTAGAACAGATTATAAAGTTTTCAGTGTTAATATTGAGACATAGCTAGTCCCCCTTTTTTTTCTTTTCTTTTTCTAGCTTATTAATTATTTTCGGAATATGTAAGTTTTCATTTGTCATTGCCCAACTCATTGGGGCACATCATTTTTTTTTAAAGTTGTATTAGCAACAACATCTGTAACAACATCTTTTGCAAATTACAGATTCGCATTCACCATTCTTCCGGCATCGAACCAAGATTCTGCTAGGTCTTGTTGATCCCAATTGTGTAACAATAGCTTGCATTCATTTTCATGTTACTTATGTTTGACTTGATACAAAGCCATTCGTTTGAGATTATCTCTTTACTGGCCCATATCAATCTGAATCGCCCAGTAAATTCACGGTGAATACAAAACTTAATATAGTTACGTAATGTCAATAAGCATGATATTTTTACTGTCTTTGCAAATTTTGTTTGGTCAGCATTTACAAGTTTCATGAAATGAAGAGCCAATGAAAAAACATGTAAGTTCAGTGTATCCTAACGACTAGGTTTAATCTGCAAACTTAAGATAACCGTGTATTTTTCAACTGAGATATTTAGGGGGAAAACCTCGGTTTGTTTTCGGGGAAATACTGTACTTTAGGGAACATGGAATTGGTTTAGAAAACAAATATTAACATTGAAGTCACTTTCACGAAATGTCTTCTTGAATTTACTTCAAACTGAAAAAAGTCTTTGCAATAATTTCTACATTTTTAATTTTCAACACTGAAAAGATTTTGGATATTGCAGGCACAACTACAACCTGTTATAAGTAACTGACTATTCAGGGAAAGCGCAAGTGATGTGTGAAGATATGTACTCGGTCACTTCATCTGCGACCTTACTGGCATTCTCTTACATAGCAAAACGCCACAATTCACTGTTGTTCTGTAATATCGATGTTTTGTAGAGGAAGTCAACAACATTAAAACTGAATGAAATTTCATTGCAAAAGTCATGGAATTCTGCAAATGAAGAAGGAAAAGTATTATTAGAAGATAAAGGAGAGAATAAATAAAAATGAACAATGTGAATAAAGAGAATCAATAAGGAATAAATACATTTTTCTGTTACTGAGTTAACCATACATTTTATTTCTGTCTTCAGTTATTTGATGTAAAACACAAAATGCTTAACAATCCCTAGTTTCATGTCATATCATATGTTTAAGAGCATTTTAATTTGAAAAATAATCAAGCGATCTTCAAAATGAAAAGCAAATGCATTTTCAGTAATCACTTCATACTGTGGAATTGGGGAAACAAAACGTGATTACTTATCAAAAAGAAAAACAAATAATATTAGCCCATAAATACAAATTACACGACAACGTATGCATTGAATTTCTAGTACAGAAAAGAGATGAAAGCATGGCATTCGTATCAACCCCATGGAAATCTGTTGATTTCATCCGGATCTTCACAACACAATTTCCCTGCCTATTAGCAAAGAAAAACATATTCTAATGTGTTCCGTTCATGTAACTGCCCACCAGTACCAGAACAGTGATCCTTTATGGTGTGTTTTACAATACACTGTCAGTGATACTTTAAAAGTTCTGGAAGTGATGTTTGTGACATTTCCGAGATGCCTCGTGTCACAGCAGCATGACATTTGAGGTTTTTAAATGTATTTTGGGGAAAAAAACAAAATGGTTAAAATCATAAAGGAGCAAGTTGCCAAGAAATAGTTGCTTGTATCTTTGTAAGAAAAAGGTTTCATAAAAAATGTAAAGACAAAAAATATTGTTTAGAACATGATAGATTATGATGTTTGGTGTGTTTTATCTGCCTGGTCTGGGACATCCTTTTTTATAACTGCTTCAAGGAGGTAAATGTAGATTGGCTTTCTTTTCATCATCTGCATATTGCAAAGAAAGCTTTAATTTGAAGTAGGTCATTGGGGAAATTTTTTTGATCAAAGATGAGGTTTAATCCAGGGCAGGAAGCAGTAGGTTGTTGGAAGATGGCAGGCATGTAACATTTTTAACAATTTTAGTTTTTTTTAATGCTATGCTCATTAGACTATTCAACATTATTAAAAAGCTCTTTTTCTTGTTTGCCTTTGAATTGTCAAGTAATTTAAAATACATCTGGTGCATTCTTCACCTAAGAGTGAAAAATGAAGTTTAAATCCATGTATTTTTTCCCAGAATGAACAATTGAAAATTAGTGATATTTTTTTCCTGAATGAAAATTTTACATTCATATTATCTTGGATTATGCACTTAAACTGAAATCTATTTCAGTAATAATTTTATGTTCAATTTAAGAAGTGAAATCAATTCTACATTACATACTATGCAAAAGTTCAGTATTTTTTAATACAAATCCTTGTTTGTTAGGTGCTTCCAAAGTATTCTGTGCTGTTGATAGTGATCCAACTGCTGCATCTCAACTGGATCAATTGACACGTGTACCAAATTTGTTGGAATTGAAAGTTGGTACTCAGGTCATGTTGATGAAAAATTTGAATGTGTCAGAAGGTCTGGTAAATGGTGCTCGAGGTGTTGTGGAATCATTCAACAAAGAAGGTACAATTTCAAATTAAGTGATACCAGAGGAAAGACTTGAAGAAAAGTGCAGTAATATGACCAAAATCTGCAAACATTTAATTTCTTTTCCCTAATACAATCCATTTAATACTTGTAAATACAAATTCTTTTTTCGTGCTATTATCTTCAAATCTTTCCTTTTGCATTGTGAATTTTCTGCATGTATTAGATACAGGTCCAATTTATGTCTTGTCAATACTTCTTTCCTTAAATCAACATATCTGCTTCCAGCTTTGAATATTTTTGATTACAAAGTTTTATTTGTAGGTTATTTGTCCAGAATGTGTTTGGACTGTCATTTTGCAAAACAGATATGTTAACCAGAAAACATAATTTAGATTAAACAAATTTATTAAAATATTTTTCTAATTTTTAAAGTTTTTTATCTGGACACTTCAAAGCCTTTTTTCTCTTTTCTTCAAGAGTTACTCTGAATATGAGATAAAAATCTATTACAGTATCAATCAGCTCTTAGGCAATAAAACTAAGTAAAATTTTCTAACTTAAATATTTGCATTAAATTGCAAAACGTGCATTAAAAAATTGAAATTATATTGTTTTATTGTCTTAAAACAGATTGATGTAATAATCTTTTGTGTTTATCTTGCATTTAGAGTAACTTCTGAAAAATATAAAAAGAAGTCATTGAAATGTAGAGATGAATCATTTTTAAAATTAGTAGAATATTTTAATAAAGTTGTTTAATGTACATTATATTTTCCGGTTAACAATTCTCTGTTTTCAATGGTTTTAAAAAAATCTGATGAACAAATTCTGGCAAAAAAACCTACAGAGCGTTCAGGGCAGTGAACGATTTTAATGACAGATTGTATAACAGATGAGCGTCGCCTCAGACGCATGCTCTCGCTTATATTCTTCCGCAGTCTGAGTTGCTTCAACAGCTGGTCGGGTTGACTGAATTTTGTTGGTCAATGTAATTTTTGATGCGTGGAATGTTTAGAAAAGTTTTCACTGAGAGATTCATGTTAATCGTATCATTAATGAGAAACAATTATACTAAGTGATTCAGAAACATTTGAAATAACCTTGAGTAACATGTGTGATTGAATTGAATTAAGTCCATTAGATACAAGAATGAAATGGAATACACTGCATACTTCCACGTTAGGCTTGTAAAAAACTACGGGAATTCTGCCGGTACTTTTGGGCTTGCGTGATGAGAAGATTCAAATTAAATATGTGCTGTGATAATGTTTTGCAGTTTTATGATATCTGGTGTGTTTATAAATTAGATTTCATTTTTCACGTTGCCATCTATGACTGAAGCCAGTGTCATCAATTATTGATCAGTGGACTTGGCAGATATGGTTAGTTTAATTGTGAATTCGTTGTAATAATACTTAAATAAAATAATTTGCTTCGAGTTATTGGCTAATGAAACAGGCTTGAAGTGACATGTAATATTAACATAAAATACCATGAAATTTGCTATTTCTTCTTTTCATAATTTTGGCTTCTCTGTTGTACAAGTCTTGGAAAAATTTTCACACTACAGTTCACAGATTTTTTTTGCGAGAAGGGTACACAAGTTAGTAGATATCGGGTATGTTTGGCAGTATTCTCAGTTATTTAATTTGATCAGTAACTTCAGTAAATTTCTTAAATCATGGCAATCAAGTAGTTCTTAAAAAGAATAAAAAATGGGTTGAAAAGTTGCTATAATTTTTGTACTCACGTGTCATTCAAAAGATTATTAAAAGTACATTCAAATTAATGGAAAGATAAATGGTTTTCAATGAATCACTGTGCAAGTTTTAGCTTAGAAATTAAATTGAAATGTTTCATACCTTATAACTTTATTACATAATATAAAATTATTAGAAATTAGATGGAAAGGTACATAAAAAAAAAACATGTAAGTGAAAAAATAATTCCCTTTATTTGCATGATTATTTATTTGAAGATACAAACTTTCCAACCGATATCCATTGAAGTTCAATAAATTTTAATTCCACTTAGATTTTTAAAGTCCAACAATACAAATCAAAAGGAGTTTCCTGAGTCCTTTTAGAAATATTCACAACCTACTTATTAACATTCCAGCTCTAGCCTACCCATTTGCCAGGGTCAGGACTAAAAATTTGAAATAAAAGTTTATACATTTGAATTTTTTACTAAGAGATAAAACAATGAACAATGTACCATATTGTATTTCTTATATGACGAACACTTTAATTGGTTATCAAGCAAGTCCTAAACAGCCGAATTTGATAATTTAATAATGTATTGCATTTAAGATGTACATACGAGAATCCTAACATACTGCTCAAAAGATAAAACTTTTCTTTTTCACTGAATTGCATTTCTAATTTTTTTTTTTTTTTTATTAAAAGAACTAATTTTTCTATTACTTGAAGTTTAATTTTTGATTAGTGTAATGAATGTTATTAAAATATATTTTTCACCCATTCAATCTCCACAATCAAACCTTTTTCTCTTCACATACTTGTCATTCACACATTCATTTCTATATGCTGATTATATACATAAAAAAAAAACTTATATAACTGAAGAAATTCTTTTTATAAATAAAATTAAAATTATACAATAATTACTCAAATAATTTACAAAGGAAGTTAATATGTGCAGCACATAAAGAGTGTCTAGTTATATCTATCTCGAGAAGTACGCTTAAAACAACATAGCATACAGAGGACAAAAGCAACATGACTTCTGGAAGCAAGCAATGAGCATTTATTTCAAAGGCATACTTAATTTCCGTAAGCAAGATCAGCTTAAAAATAAAGTTTCATCCTGATGTATCAGCTTGGATGTGACCATTACGGCTGATATAATATGAAATCTTTTAACACTTCTGGCACCTGAGAAGAACAAGAGTTTCTGTCAAATTTTTTCAAACAACTTAATGAAATTAACTGCATTGAACATGTAAATAAACTGACATAATCTCTCTAAGTAGAGACACATACGAGCCCAAGGCATGGGAAACAGCATGATGGAGCGTTATCATACAGAAGTCATCCTGAATATTTTACTATGAACAGAAGTTCCTTGAGCTGCTGCCTACTTCTTACTTTCATTTCTTCTATAATTTTTCTCTTATGTGTGTCATATAATCTCTTCCAACTAAGCAATGTAAACAGAATGAATAATACTTTATCTTAACAATTTTCTGCAAAAAGGACTCTAGACAATATTCTTGTTTCTTCAAATCATTTCATCTACAAATAATCTGGCACCACATACATGATATGGATTTTTTTCAAATCTGAAATTGGCTAATACAATTGGGTATAAATCAGTAAAAATAACAACTGTTATTTTAATGATTAATTCACAACTTAGGTTTAAGAGTACTTCTTCTGAAACATTCTTCAGAAGTTTTCAAGAAGACGACTAAAGGTAATGCTCAGGTGTTAACGGTACGGTATGTGCTGAGATAGAAGAGGTGCTGCGAATGGTCACGCTTTTAAGGTTGATGAGGCTTTTACTCACTTTCTAAAACAATTGGGAAATAACACAAGGATAGTTTAAATATTTTAGTTATACTTCAAAGACAATAGCATTTATTTTCATTCTGTCTTATAAATACACTATAAAACATTCTACTCGGCAAACTTGATGTTTCTAAGAAAATTGTACTTATGATATAATAATCACTGAACTCACATTGAATGGTATAAAATTTTTCCTAATTCCAACGGCTTTAATGTGGAACATCATTTTCACCACTGGGTGGTAGTTTTATTACATTCGTTTTATAATCAGGTATTTTTATACATGAATAAATGTATAATTTTCAATGGGAATATTTTTCTCATTCTAAAAACAAATATGAAATGTCACCTCAGCACGTACAAGATTGAACAGGTGCACTTGGTCCTTTACAATAACTGAGGTTCTGCTATCAAGGTAGTAATTTCTTCTTATCATCACTTTTGAAACAATCTCTGCTGTCATATTTATGAATATTTATCTACATTCTTTTGTCCTTTGATGGCAAACAATAGTAACTGCATCTTCGATGGAAACCTATTTGCACATCCTGCATATTATGACTATGTACCTATTTTACCTTCATTCTAAATTTGTGCTTGAGCAAACTTTCATTTTTATCTTTCCATGAACGGAGGCACTAACCTAAGGATAGATTGTTGTAAAAACCAACACTTAATAAAGTCTACTATGATAAATCATATTGAACGCACTATGTAGGGTTGTTCAAACTGGACAAACGATATTCTCATACACATGAAGTATTACACACAATGGTATTTCTCAAGATGCAATTTCATTACATGCAAATCATCCTTTCTCCATTCCTTATATCTAGAATTCAATAATTTTCAACACTACAAATTTAGTAGATTTTTTGCTTGCTTTTTGAATAAGACCAAGTTTCATCCAAAACTACTAATTAATAACCTTCAGCGTTCAGTTTTCATATATTCCATCAAAAGTCGATATTTCAATAACTATTATCATTTCTTTCCATGCAATGTAAATAAATTACTTACCATTTCTTGGTACATTGAATAAATAATGTGCTTAATCAAAGCCCTGTCCAACAATCATCCACTACACATGTTTTGTTCCATCTTCTATTCCTGGACACTCCTTCTAGAGTCTGAGCTAGTCTCAGGGTCTTGCTTCCAATATCTGGTAAAATTAAGTTCAACATTATCAAAAACAATTTCACCTGACACTTTATTGACTTTCATATGACACATTATTATGATTTTCTTACTTTTGAACAATGTGAGTTTTCAGCTTCAATTCATAGGCAAGTTTTGTCAATATCTGAAGAAGTTTCTATATTGCATCGCATTAGCTCTTCACAAATATTGCAATAAAAAAGATGTCTTCTGGCACTGATGCTGTGTCACTTCTCCTTCTGCGATGGGACTCATTGCTAAGTTGCTTAAAAGCTAATTGGACTACATTAATATTTACAACTTAAATAGTAATTAATGCCTACATCTAATATTTCAATGAATTAACATAATATAAATATTAAATAAATAATGGAAATTCTCCGAAATATGTGGAGTGAAATCGTTCAAGTCTTCTCTCCCCTGTGTAGACGATCTCACAAAGGTTCAACAGGCTGTGGAGAAGGGCTCGGAGAGCGCCCCTCTCCAGGGGTGCCATGTCAAAATACACAAAACAGTTTATAAACACGGCACCTGTCCTTGAAACTTGGCAAAGGGCGCCCGGGCCCGCACACTAAGAGAAGCCATGTTACCTGCACCTCTCTTCTGCAGTGAACTCTCCAAATTCTAACTGAACACAGTGTGCGTAAATTATTAACTTTTAAAAATAGTAACCTTGAATTAGTTTCAGAATTCTTCAATGATGTTTTTATCACTATATAAAATATTTTTCATTGAACTTTCTCTTTGTCGGAATGAAATACATTATGTATGCGCACGGCGTCACTACACGTTAGCCAACGTTTTGAAATGAAAATAGAATATTCTGACATGTAAATCACTGGCAGCCCCGAGGCATGAATCTCATGTGTATGGAATCAAGTGGCTTGTCAAAAAAAACCGGTCACATGACTGAACGCTCTGTATAAGTAGAAACTTAATGATAGTTTAATACACAGATAATTGAGTAGCAAGTTTTATATCTCATATGCCATGCGATATGCAAATATTTACAAACCATACAATATATTTACAAAATGATATTTCTGATTAATGTGCGTGTTTTGTGTATTGTTCTTTGAATTAACTATCCAATCAATTACGGATTGACTGTCAACATATGTTATAACTGGTCATAGAATAATTTCACTTTGACCCAGTTTTTGTAATCAACCTATTAACCATCTTACTTTACATGTAGCATTAACTGATTCCAATTGGAGTAAAGCAACTATTTTCTGTTTACTGATCTTCTAACTTATTGTTGAGTTTCTGAATTTGACATTGTATTTGCTGAAGAATTTCGAATCGTTCATTGTACACTAACTAGCACCTGTATTTAGAACCAGTTTCCCATGTTTATTTTCAATTCTCTAACATTCTTTGGTTCCCTGTATATATCTCAGAATACATTTCAGAATGAATTTGTTTTGGATTGTTGCTGAATTGAGATAATACACTTATGCCAAGTATGGCATTGTTCCAGTCATGAGATGTCCAATCCTTTCCAAAATTTCTTCATGCTGTAGAATTTCAACTGTAGCTAAATATTCATAATCTTCCAATTTTCTTCCTAAAACTCATGGAGTCTTCACTGCTTGGCAGTTTTCCGTATTATTTTTCTCTATAGAATTTTCAATGAAGTTTTTCTCCCTCAATAAATTCCTCAATTTTTCACTTCAATGCTAATACCCCAAAACATGATGTTCCCTTTAAATTCGTTCATAGTAATTTTGTTCTTTAGCTTTACTGTAACTGATTAACCACAGCCTCATCTTGTCTAATAAATGTCTTATAAAATTGTCGAAATAAAAACAAAAACAATAAACTTGTCACCTGACAAAACCCAAGGGTCACTCTTGGTTGAATGAAGACCTGTTTTCTTTAATAGTGCAGTTGATTTGATATACCAACATCTTCCAGTTTCTGGTAACTCACAAACTCACATTCATTCTTCAATAAAAATGTTCTCCCTCTTTCAACATTTACACTGTGAGGGAGTTCCTTATAAGCATTCCTGTCCAGTTGGCCTAAATAGGCAATTTCCATGTTGATAAAATGAATTTTATGTCCTTTCATTGCTGATATAGTGAATAAAATTCAAAATGATTCTTACTTCATAACTAGATTGCAAGAATTTTCACACTCTAAATCCTCTCCTATTTGTTCTTTTGAACCATCTGCAACCCATTGTTATTTTTATTTCAAATAATTTCAGTTATGTTTCTTCATAAACTTGCTGCAAATAATATTTTTATTTTTAGGTTTTGCTATAGTTTCCCATGTGTTACATCATTCTTGAATCTTCAGTTCTTTGTCTATTGCTTTCTTTCAATTTTCTTTCTCAAATGATTTTAAAGCTTTCTCATAGGTACTTGGAATTTCTTCATGTGTCATTCTTGTTATATATCTTCTTAAAGGTGTTCTCTCTCTGCTTGATCTTCTTACCCCTGGATTGGTTTCAGTTTTTTGATACCCTTTCTTGATCATTTTCTCATCTCAACTTCTCTATTTGATTTTAATTTTGTCATCTTTTAAAAATGAGTTCATCATGTAGACTATTAATTTCTGTAGGTTCCTCATCAACTTCTGTGATTTTCACAATCAGTTCTTCATAATTTGAAATCACCAACCAATCAAATTCTTTTTGTTGAGAACAGCCTTTAATGACAAATCTATTTTCATTTTCCTCAAAAATAACTTCTCGTTTTCACAAATGCCCTGTTTCCCAAGGTCAAAAAATACTATTTCTTTATTCCTGAAATATGTGACAAATATTGCAGATCTTATTCTCCTATCCAATTTGTTTCTTGTTATATTGTCGTTTCCGTAACTCAACTGTAAACTCAACAACCAAATATCTTAAAATATTGAATCGATGGTTTCCTTTTAGTGGCTACTTTTCTGAGGTACTTTGTCTTTATTCTTCATAGGTGTGATCTGGTCTTGCAACTCCATCAAAACGGGACAAAGCTTCAGGGTGCTTCTCTAGGAGGTGCTAGTGTTGCCAGCTGCAGGTTAGGTGCATAAGATGCAGTTCAAATGCAACTCAAAATCTACCAACATTGTCCTCACTATCTATCAACTATCTCTTTGCTTTGAGGTGTATGAATGTTTTCACACTTGATGCCTTTTACTGCCTGGTCCTCGTTTTGGTCTGTTTCACATCGTTTTATAAAATCTTTAAAATCTATCTGCTGTATCACTTTTCTGACTCAAAAATTTAATAAAAAATATCTTTTGCTGTATTTGTCAAACATAACCAGGTTGTATTGGTTTCTGCCAAGTGATTGTTGGCATTGATCTACATAGATCTATACAGATTCATTCCAAAGTTTGTGAACTTATTTCCATTTCTATAATTGTTAATGGCAATCTTACTGTGTTTTTGCGTGCCAAATTCACAACATTGTTTGTTTAAAATTTGGATTATCTGTTTATTGAATTTTTGTCCAAACATTAGGAACTAATGTGTCCACATCTTATGCCACAAGTTTTGATTTGATTCTTTTGTATTGAAACATGCTACATTTCTCAATGAGCCATTTGTCCAAATAACTTCAATTCAATAAAAAATCCATCAGCTTCAAAAATTTCTTCTGCAAACAATTCTCCTATTTTTGTGTCATGTATATCAGCTCCATCATTATCAAGAATAGTTCATTTGCCTTTGTTGACTACTCTTGCAACAGACTTGAAATGTCTATTAACATTAACATCTGGAACCTGTATTCATTGTTGGTTTCCTGTGTAGTTTAATCACCAAAGAACTTCACAACTCTGCATAAAACTTGCAACCACAAAATTTTTCTGAGCAGGCAAGCCATAGTACTTAAAATATTAAAGACCTTAAACAATGAGCCAAAGTTTGTAATTAAAGTACCTTCAACACAAAAATATTTAGTTAGCTGATGAGTTGAATATGCATATTCTCACGAGTGTATTTGCATAGGACTTCCTGTTGTTCGTTTTTGGACAAATGCCCAAGTTGCTGTACAACCTGACCGGTGGACAGTGAGAGGATCTGGAAACTACCTGCTCACAAGGAAACAACTTCCATTGCAGCTTGGATGGGCATTTTCAATCCATAAGTCTCAGGTAACTTCAGTATATGGCTGATTGAAAATTCCTCACGATTGTTAAAAAATGGTTTAGCTAAAAATTAACTGGTTTTTTCAGGGTCTCACTCTTGATTGTGTTGAGATGTCACTTGGTAGAGTATTTGAGCCAGGGCAAGCGTATGTGGCTTTGTCTCGTGCAAAAAGTTTGCAGTCCCTCCGAGTTATAGATTTCAATCCAAAGCAAGTGTGGGCCAACCCTGTGGTGCTGGACTTCTACAGAAAATTTAGGAGGAAAATGAAAATGATGGAGATTGTTCCATTAGGGAGGAAAATATGATGGAATTGATAATAGATCCATAAATAAAAAATGCCTGCCATTAGAAATAATTTGTTTTAACTTTTCTTTAGTGAGGTAATTTATTATTCAATAAGACTGACAATAGTGATAATTTTTGCGGAAATTTCCAGCATATGATTGCCTAGATCCATGTGCTTCCTTTTAAAAAAATAATTGAGTATGTCTTCATTGAATTTATCAAATTATATTGAAACTGTAAGCATTGAGTGTTATTTCTCTGATCATGTTTGTGAAACTGAGGTCATTGTGCAGCTAAATAGGAAGAGATTGCATTTGCAGATTATCATTAGGAGTTTCATCAAGATTTTGTAAAACCTTTGCTGTTTACTTGAATGCACCATGACGACAAAAATTATACTAATCTACTTTGAGATGAAAAATGGAAGACAAAAAAAAGAAAGAGAAAGAAAAGAAAAAACACACATGTAATATTTTGATTATTGTATTTATGAACCTCAGTTTCTTTCCCTTACGTCTTAAACTGCTCATGTGAACTCAGCATTAACATCTTCTGTATTTCTTTCCTTTTATGTCAATTTTTGAGAAGAGGTATTTAATGTCACTTCATATTACTGCCAGAAGGTTTATCTTCTTATATCCAAAACTATTAACGCTCACACTTTTGTAAAATAAACAAATTTTTATACTTAAAATATAGTTACAGGGTAATAACGAGGCTTTTTTTCTGGATACTTACAGAAAAGCTTGTGAGCTAATTTAATAACATTATGATGTGTTTATGACAAAATCAAATCAACTACTGGCAATGTGGACTGTGAAAATTTCAATTGATTTTGACCTTCTGAGATTAGGGAAATGAAAATTAGTTTATTTTAATGTTTGACAACTCAATAACATTTAATTGGCTTTGAGAAATGATTGAGTATTAAACATTTGGAACAATTATGAGAAGTGGCACTGTTGAGTCAATTGCGAAGTATAATTGTGATTCGTACAGAAAGTGTTTGTTCTTGTGTTGACTCTTAACTATTTTTATTATTTTATATTACCTTTATTTTTAATGGTGATCTATTTGTATACAACCAAATTTTTCAAAATTACTACAGAACATTAAAGGTTACTGACATTACTGATCACTTGTATGCAAGTACCAGATATCTCCAGAAACTCAAAAGTTATGTAATGTACTTTTGCTGTACTGTGAGTTTACACTGTGCTGCTTTCAGCAATTTGGATAGCTTCTTCATAAGACAGTTGTACCTTTCTTAAGAATAAAACACTGCCATTCTAACAAGAGTGAGGATCTCAACTTTTTTCTATATACCATTATTTTCCTTCTAACATGTGATATTTATGATTAAAATATGTTATAGCTGATTATTAAAATATATTCAATAAATACATTCCTTGTCAGAATGCCTTTACAATTAAAGCCCACTTCACATGTTTATTTCATTGAACAGTGAGTCTCTGTTCCCCCATGTAAGTTTTACATTTTGAAATTCCATCATTTGTGTGTATCTGACCTATAAAATGTTGTGTATTTTCAAATCTGGATACCTGATATGTATCTCTAAACTTTTTTATATTTTTATTTTCTATGTGGCACACTCAAAGAAAACCAGTGTATTTTATTTAATGTGAAATATTGGTGCACAGGTATTTTGAAAATATTGCCATCCCTATATAAGATTGATATTTTATTTTATTATGAATTTTTCATTTTTGAATGTTTTTTGTCTGTACATTTTATCATTGATAAAATAATACAAATAAAAATGTATGCAACCTACAAATCCTTTTTATCTTTGAGATAAAACACTGTGGGTACACAATGTATTAGAAAGTGAATTGTCCATGAAATCTGTATGTTTAATATATATGGAATTGATGTCAATATGGGTGCTGTAATTATTGCAGACAAATGCATAGCCAGAGAATGAGCCATGGGAGTTTAAAAATAGGTTGTTGGAAAAAGTTTTCAAACAAACAAATTTTTTCCCTTTAATTTTACTTAGCATAATACACAAGTGGGAACGACATGTATTTACATAAAGCTCCTTTACTTCTGAATGAGTTTGTATAAACATAATTTTTGTTTTGAATTTTTTGTTTTGTTTTGAACTAAACTTAAGCAGAGCATTCTTTTCTATTTCTTTTTTTCTTACCTGGATCATACTTTAATTTACATTCAACGTAGCTCATTTAAGTGATCCTTTTGTCATTGTTTTGAATGCAGCCTAGTTTTTATCTCTGAAAGATAATAAATTAAAGCTCAATGGTACTCTTAATAAGTCGTTTGAGCAGAGAAATAATCAAAACATGTTTTGTTTGTGGGAAAATGTGTTGTTACTTCATTCCCCAGTTCCTCCATTTTGAATTTTTTAATATTGTCTTTCTTTCCTGCCTTTTCCTTCCTAGCAGTATCATACTCTTATCTCTCTTTCAAACTTTTCGAAGTTAAAAAGTTACAGAATCATTATTGTTATCTAAACTCTTGTACTGACATCTCCAACAATAGTAAAGTAATAGGAAAGATTGCAATAATAGCACCGGTATTGCTGTAAGAGAATGTCATGAAAAGCACAATTCTCAATTTTGGAGTTAATCATGGAATTCTTATTACTTTCTTATATACATAATATAATAAAAGTTTTGCTGCAGAAAAAACTAGAACTTTGGACATCAAAAATGGTGGGTGGGTCCCTGATGCTGGGAAAAAGGATCCTTCTTGATTCTATAAAATTCTATACTTATATACATAGAACAGTGAAACCAGTCTTAAACGTTCAGAAATGTTTCAAAAAAAATTAGCTGGTAACAGGTAGCCATGTAATCAAGGTGATGAGTAGAGACCAGAAGTTCAGGCATTTATTTTACCCAAAAATGCAATTATTCTGGCTAAAGTAAGGGTGCAAAAAAGCATCTGAACAACTTCTTAAAGCAATTATTGTAAAACACCTTTTGAAATTTTATTGAAAATAATCTTTTAAAGCAATTATTGTAAAATCTTAGTAATTAAAATGATTCACATTTGTATTTTAATTTCAACATTTACATTAGCACTTTATATTCAAGGAAACAATATTTTCTTTGTTATCTTGATTGCACATTACCACCCTGTATGATGACTAAGAATTTGTTTTACTCACAATGCTGTTTCTTCAAAATGCATTTGCGATTCCCTTTTGAATTTTGAAATGGCATGAGTGAAAAGAAGTACTTTATCCATATTTTGTTCTTTGTACTTGTGTAATTACCAGCACAAAGAAGAGTGTATTATCATACACTAAGAGCTCTGGTCTCCAAAGGGATCAGACACCATACTCAAACAAAGGATTGGATTCCTTGTGACCGAACAAATGTCGGTCGACGAAACTAGTATTGCAAGAAAAAAAAAAAGGTGAGTGGGAAAGCCTCACTGGTATAGGATTTTCACCAAACTGAATACTCTCCAGCTGAGCTCCAGCGTTCCTTTGTGTGAAGGTAGTAATCTCTTCGATTTTGCTGTTTCTTATTATAGTACAGTTCAAAATCACTTAAGGTGACTTCTTAGGTTAATCTATGAAATTCATTGAGCCAATGGGCAATAAGAGTCACACGTCAGTGCCATCTGGCACTGATAGAATATTTTCACGCTTCAAATAGAATTTTTTTTTTATCGGGACCATAAGAAAATGGCCATTACTGGAAGTGATTACTTAATTGAAGTGTTTTTTGTTTTTTTTTAACAGGTTTCACTATGTATTACCTTCTTGTATTTGTAGTATAGTCAAAATCCACATTTTGGGATTTCACACTACTGAAAGTGTTTGATCAAAACGTATGTTTGATGGTGTAGCTATCTGTCCACTACACTAAACCATACAGGAGATTTTCACCAAAACAGATGTTTTTCCATTGATCTGGCTCATGTGGCTCTTTGAATTTGAAATGCATCTCTGAATTTTTTTGAGTGATTTACAGGATGACTAATTTTTGGAAAAAACTCGAAAATCATAGGAAATCAAATATAGAAATTGTACACTGACATGCAGGGAAATGACTTGCCATGTCAAAAAATGTGCATTTGACACAAAACTGATCTATGCTAGGAAGAAAATAAAATTTATTGAAGTGACACAGCTAATAGTAGTAATGTAGTCAGTCCTTTAAAATGCCATATGTAGTTACCAGCACAATTAAATGAATCTTTGTCAACAGAACAGCAGTAATGACCTTTTTGAGGAAGCAGTAATAAAAAAGTTAATTTCTTGCAGAGTTTGTCTTGAATTGGTTTGTGTAATCTGAATTCTTGTATGTAATTAGTTGAAATTGCATGAGTGAAATAGTTCATAACAAGTAGTTATGAAAGTAGTTAACATGTTTTTAATATAAAGTAGTTGGTAAAGACATCTTTCACAAACACATTTGTATTTTAATCTTAAAATCAATTTACACATCCATGTAATTTGCATTATGTGTAGAGGTAAATCATGGAAGAAAAAAAAATTATGAAACTTACCTTCTTGTATAGATTAATACTCGGAGATAAAACTTATTTTGGTGTATTCAACTACCACAGACTGTCAAATGGGAAGAAAGAATGTGTAAAAAGTGCTCCCAAGCAAAAGAAAATAAGCATTTTGAAAAATGATATTGGCTTAACACTGAATTCTAGCACCCTCACTCAAATTACTACCACGTAACGGTATGTTTTTTTTAAAGTTATGCTTTCCAATGCCATTAATCTTGGAAAGTTTTTAAATAAGCATTATTTAATGATTAAAAATATTTTCATTATAATAAAAGCTTTTGGGGGGAAATTATTACAAATTTGTATTAAACAATATTTTTTATAAATGTTAAGATAATTTCTGTAGCCATTCTATAACATGTTTCCTTAAGTAGAAGAGTTTTGTTGAGAATTGAAAAAAAAAAAAAAATTGGGTGGCCATGTTGGGGTAACAAGAGTCTGCCAAGAAATCACTCTGAGAAACTTTACCTGCCTGAACTTCCTGCTCAAAATTACTGAAATGCCCTGATTTTAGCACCTACAATCAGGGGAGCATAACTATAGTACTTTGTATTCCAACAAGGAATGTAATATTTGCTCACATCTGGCAAAAGGTCACTCTCTGAGACATTCAAATACTCTTGTGATATGTCTTAATTGTTGTCCTTCAAGAGTTTCATTTTTTTAAGCATTTGTGAGGGAAACAGGAAATATCTGATAGTGAAGTATCAGTGGCCGACACTTGTTCAGGAGAGCCTCTTGTTAATATGAACACTAAAAATATATATTTTATAACACACTATTATTTCAGGGATAGTACTTGTGGCATCAGTATGTTACTGGAGGCTTAAAAGCTTTGGTTGTCTCTCTTTTCAGTCCCAGCATTAAGATTGGAACTAACGTTTTCACTTTCCATTTTTTACTGGATATCCTTCTTAGGACCCCGGCACATGAGCGTTGCATTGACGTGTGTTAAGTAACGTGTGTCTTAGAGTAACACTGGATCTTATGTAAAATGGTACACAAGCACTTTAGCATTCTGCATAAGATACAGTGTTAATCTACGAAGCGCGTCAACATAACGCTCGTGTGACACAGGACTCACAGGAATTTACACAGGTCTCAGTTGATACAGTATAATTTGATAGCAATCAATCACCTTGTTTAGTCTCCACTAATCTTGTTAAATTCACTTCATTTTAAACATATGAAGTAAATTTTGTCTTATGGAAAATGTTTTAAAATTTGGAATTCAAATATTTGAATGAATTATTATGATGAAAATCTATTTTTAAACTGTGAATAATTTTTATTTGAAAAATTTTGAACCAAATAAGAAAAGAGTGTGCTTTTTACGATCTTACTCGGCTTTGTAGATTTAGACAGAGAAATCAGGAAAATGAGAGAAAAAAGATTCAGGTGTCCAGCAGGTACCCTGCTTAAGGACATTTTTGAACTTTTCTCAAACTTTAAATGTTTTGCTTGAATAGAGCAAAGTATACTTTTAAAATTTAATAGAGCAAAATGCTTTTAAAAGATAGCCCATTTCTTAAAAATTGCAAACTATTTTGATGCCCTCCCTCATCTACAGTATTGAAGATAGACATTTTCTTAAATGAAAACTATTATAATGGTAATAATTTTTTTTAACATTATTTAACTATTCTGTGACGATGTTCACAGTCACATTGACAACAAGCCAAGAACTTGGCGTAGAATGTAACTGAATGGAGTAATCGTCTGTTAACTCCTTATAAAAATGTTTTTGTATAATTTTGAGTGAAATCGTGACAACTATAAAAATATTTCTAATCAAGTTTCGCTCAATAACTGTTCCATTTTTTTAATAATCAAAAGTTCACTTAATAATGTGACAGGTATTCATTAAAATCTCAGAAATCTTAAAAATTGCAAAGTTCAACTTTGTGATGATTTGGGTGGTGTAGTAAGACTGCTTCCAACCCTACAAATCTTATGTTCAAATCCCAGCCTAAGAAAATATTGATAGGTTCAACTAATATTATGTAAGTCACTGTAGGTTGAAAAGGACTTCCTCATTATTGAAAAGGATCTTTCCTATATTATGACATCAATTATTTTTAGCCAGTTGCAGTATGTAAAGTAACCTAAACATTTGTGGTTACTATGAATTTTGTTTTAAATGAACTCTCACTTATTCATTAAAAGACAAGACACATGACCACACCAAGGTAACAATTAGTGGACTGTCATAATCAATTTACACAATTATACTCATACAGATTGAGATTACTATTTTTATGTTTATGTGTGGTGTTATTTTTTAACTTTTGCTTGTTATTGTAAAATGCAGTGTGTATGTGTAATAGGTAATTGGTGAAGTATTAAATGAGTAAAACATTTTACTGGACACAGATATAAATCCTTGCTTTTGGATTTAATTCGTCTGCATCTTTGAATGAAAATCAAACTTTAGGATTATTACAAGACCGTGTGTCTTTCAAAATAATTTCGTTCATATTCTCTGAAAGTTCATATTTCAACACATATTTTACATAACATGCTGTTTCCAGTTTCAGATCAATGTGATACCTATTTTTTTTTTTGTCAACCAGATTTCCATTCCCTCATGACTATGGGCTCATAATACTACAGATACAAGAACAACTACTGATTCACAGTCTTTAAATTATTGTAATTATTTTGATTACATTGGAAATGTTCACAAGTATTCCATTGCCAAAACACTGTTTATTTCAACATTTGATTTCACAATTCTTCACAATTATTACCAAATCCAAGCATCATAATGCAGAGGGAGGAAATGCAAAATTTTGGGACACCTCCAGTTAAAGTTTTGGTTCTAATTGCTACAATCATACATCTATAGACATTAGGGTTAACAGAGCACAGAAACACAGTCTGTAGAAGAAAATGTTGCACAGCAAGTTTATACATGTATAAAATTGTTATTTCCAACAAATTTATTGTGAGAAACTCTTAACTCACTTGCAACAAATAACTCAACATATAGTGGCCAGAGTTCCCAGAAATAAATATTCTAGATCTAGCAAAAAATACAATACTACTTTAACACTGAATGATGGAATCTTGTTTTACCAACATCCTTTAAACTATTCAAGTTTTGGATCGATATTCCAAAAACAAATTAACAAACATAAAATAAGCAGAATCCAGTCTACTTGACTAAGAATCACATTTTAAAAAATGACAAACAAAAATGTTTTAACCTTCAATTGTCATTCATTTAAAGTCTGTACACACCCTTTTCAAATTTAATTACATACACTGACATTCATTGTTCTACACCTTCCTTTACAAATCCATTGATAAACCATTCTTTGTGAAATCGCATTGTTCCTCACTTCACCTGAAATTGTATTTAGATTCTATGAGCATGTTTCTCCAAGAACTACATAGTGACATCAATTGAACATAAACCATTATCACCATTATAGATCATATTCACAATACTGTTCAGAGATTAACAATGTGCATTTATTATGGGCATAAAAAAAGTTTTCTTTCAGTCTGCACAATATTTTCACCATAAAAAAATGCACATTCACGATTCATGTAGTAATAAATTTGTTGCACTGTGAATATCATTATTTGAATTTCGCAAGGCACTTAATACTCTTGCACGATCAAATCCCATTTCCATAAGTGTCTGCACTTGTTCTTCTGATGGTTGCACACCATTTTCTAAAATTGACAAATGTGTTATTAAAACATTGAAACATATTTAAATAAAATTTGAAGAAGTGGAATTTGTACCTTCAGGCATTCCAACATTATGCCTCCTATTCCTTAAGAAGCCTCCAAAGAACATGCCATTGTCATTGGGCCAGTAGTTATCAGGTCCAACCAGAGTTTCAGCAAAGCCCTGTCCTTGCTAAAAGGAACAAGCAACATTGATCAGTTGTTGTTTCATTTCCAAAGACAGCTCTTGTAATCTTAACTATTAAAATAACTTCTTAGAATGTGTCAATAACTGCTAAAAGGTTTACAAAGTACTTGGATTGATTGATTAATGTTTCTGGGCATGTCAACTTCTAATGTTATTAGTCCTGAAACTGTAGTGCATGTTTTTGTTGAAGGACATGGAAGCAATCTTTCCCCAATCAGTTATCTCCCACCAGCGGGAACTGAACAAGCCAAGACAAGCTCTAAGCTCCTGATGTGTGGTAGTGTAGTGATGAAAGTCTAAGTAAGGAGGAAGGAAATATCTTGGGCGGTCTGTCACCCTTTTGTTAGGGTACTGCTGCAGCATTTCCCTAGTGATGATTGGAGAAACCACAGAAAACTACCAATCAGAGAAGCCAGCCGCTAAATTCGACCTGGCTATATAGCTAGTGTCGAAACCCTGCCTCACCTGGGACTCAAACCCTAGAACCTCCCGGTCAGAGGCATTACAATGGCATCGGTTAATGCCCTGAGACACCTAAGCTGGTCAAAGCTCTTGGAGGACCAAGTATTGCATAATTTGTACTGCAGTATTGTGGCAGGAAGAAGTTCACTAGCTTCAAGTAGCTGTTCAAGTCAAATCCTGAGTAACTAGACCTTAAGTATGACTCATCGTGACAACACAAACCAAATCACTACAGTACATTAATACAGAGAGCTGACCAAAGGAAAGGACAAACTTGTGGATATAGCCCTTTGAGACCGTAAAAGATACATCATTACTTTTCTGGAATACTATAGTAATGCAAAAGACCTGTTTTGAACAAGAAAGCACAATTTAATTTGCTTCCCATTATTACCTAATATCACCTATTAGCAAAAAAATTACTATGAATCTTCATGTCTCAATTTATTAAAATGGATTTTTTCTCTTAAATTTTGAATAACATTCCATAAAAATCCTAGTTCTTGAATTAGTGATATGTCAGAGACAAAATCTTTTACCACATAGAAAATATTTTTTTTAAACTGATTCACCTCCACTTTCCGCTTTTATGAGTTACAACAGTATTTCAAAAACTGATAATACATATCCTACAACTAGTTTGGTTTTCATCTGAAGGGAGAGATTGAGATGTTAGACATTTTATGCTTAACAAAGTATTTGGGCAATAGATATTTCTGCAACCTCACCTGCCTACGTGTTTCACGGGCTCGATTCAGTAACATTTGTTGTTCTAGGAGTTCTAATTGCTGAGCTCGCTGAATTTCTAAAGTCGCACCAATGGCGCCTTCTTGAGGTACTCCTGAACGCAACAACCAGCCAATTGATATACTGCTAATATTTGCAAGCCATTTAGGGACCACAAGCCAACGTCGAATATGCAATATGTTGTGACGATAAATTAATCCTGCTATCTGCAATCAAGAACAATAGTTAATATTCTTAAACACCAAAAAATAACAGAACAAATAAAATAACATGCTGTGTACTTTCTCAGCACTATAATATATCTCACTATATACTTACAATCCCACAAACACCAGATATTGCAGTTGCCATTGAAGTAGAACACACCTGAAGACCTAGAAGATATGTAAGTGTCTTCCCTGTGACCGGTATTCCCAAAAAGTGTGTCTGCGCAACTCTTGGTATGTCAAAAAAGTAACTGACAAAAAGAGGGAAAATAAGACCGTACCTATTTGAGACACAAAATTTTAACATTAGGAAACAATCAACAATGCAAAACTCATTTTCAAAGATGTATACACTCACGGTCCTGGAGGTAAGTATCCACCATTATGTACATCAATATCTACATACTGAAGAGAGATTATTGCAACAGTTTCTAAAATTGTTGCAACAGTACATGTTGCCAGAAGATAGGAAGCAAATTTGTGGGAACCATATCTCCTTTCAAAAACCCTGTAAATCAGTCAAAGCAAAATTCTCGTTTTTTTACTTTATCAATCCATTTTATAATCCATGCAAACTAAAAAATTAAAATATTAATACCTGAAGTAGTAAATCAACAATGCACCACAAACTAAATCTTTAGTGTCCAAGAACATTATGCGTGATGTAAGCAATCTCCATACCTGTTATAAACAAAGGTGGTTTTGAGTATGATGATCTAACACAATACATTAATTCTTGTAATATCAGAAATATATTTACCTCGCCATTTGAGAAAATGTCTGGTAATTTGCAACTAAGATATTTGCGCATATGGGCCAATAAAGGCATATTCAAAGCTGTATAAGTTAAAAACATACTGCCCATTAAACCTTTTGACACTGGGGCTTTGTCTGGAAAGAAGTATTGCATGTCATTCACATTAGCCAATGAAACATCCAGTGTACATCGAAATATTCCGAACTAAGAAATAACAAGAAATTCAGGTTAAAAGATGACACAAAATTACACTTACAGAAGCCAGTTGTGCTGTACTGTGATAGAATGGCTGCCATTGTTGGGGATATTGTTGGATAAAGTTAGATAAAATACTTAGAGCTAAAACAAATTCTGAGACTAATCAGTTCGTGAATATAGAATCAATCGACAACAACTGTCATGACAAGGTGCCATCTTGCTGACCTGCAATGATAACGAATGACGGCTTGCAAACATCTGATCAGAGCGTATTCCATTAGTAAATTCGGGAGGAAGGAGGATGTCCCATGGTGAATGTACGTGGTCCAATACAGAAATTGATACAAGAACTTATTTAGTTTGAAAGGTACAATTATTCACTACTTCCACAAACACAAGTAGAAAAATATAACAAGTTGTCATGCGTTGCAACCGATTTTCTTCACACGTCTATGTGTTTGCATGATTGCCATTGTTTACTTGTTCACTCATAGATGTTCTTTGACAGGTCTTGGTTTCACGTGTTCACGCGATTTGGTGAAGTTTGCATGTGTGTTTCGGTGGGCGCAAGCTTGAAGCTGGAGGGAGAGGTTAAATTCGCATTTCTTTTATACTGTGCCAATGCTGCTAGTTACCATGATTATTTATATATTTGAGTAGACAGATGTGACGAAGACATTTTTTTGAAAATTATATAAAGACATATATGTAATATTAGTGTGTGTAGTTTATTGAATATCAGAAAGTGTAAGGTGGAAGCTTTACGTTTGTTACCCCCCTTTTTAACGTCCGACGGAAATGTTAGCCAGATTTTTGTTACCTGTCGCTCTGACATGCGTCAAGAGGAAAAGTTTTAGTTCAATTATGCATGTCCCGCTGGTAAAAGGTATTCATTGTACTCAAGGTAAGCTTTTGTTCAGAAAATTTCCTAGGTACTGTTACATTTTTACAGTCGTTTATTAAGTTATATATTGAAGATCATAATGATATTAAAATAAGTTGTTTGTTGTTTTTTTCTTTTCTTTTTTTTCAATTGTTTGTTCCAATACTGAATGTGTACAGGTTTTCCCCAGCTTTTTATGAAAACTGAAATATTGTGTTAACACGACAACCTATTCATTCCCTTGTGAATATCAATAAAGGGTTTTATGTTTTTTGTGGTCACAATGGATAAAGAAAATGTTGCCATCTGTGATTGGACATTAAGAGCTTATAGGGTTCATGTTTGGCATATCTTGTATTTAGCCATTTAGATTATGCTTTCAGCTATTAAGTTAATAAGGAATACAACTAGAGTGAAATTCATGTTGACTGTACTTATGGATCTAATAATTTTTACTTTCTACCAAAAGGGAAGATACAATGAATTTGTTTAATGAGTTGCATATTTAGTTTACAATAAAGCATGACAAGTCATTAATAATGAATTAGAAACAAATAAAACATGTAAACAATATTGATAACCACCAACTATAATTGTCAAATAAAAGGAAAAGCACACTCACATGATAGGAGAAATGCACATCATCACAAAGATACTAGAGATTGTTTTGGCAAACAGAGTAATGCAGGGGGACCCAATAAGCCCCATTCTGTCCAACGGACTAGCTGCTGACATATCAAGGATAACAGAGCTCAATCAGAAAACATCCATACACATGTATTCATGTGATTGGTGCGATTCATGTGGTGGTTCAAATAGCCTGACAAGCTGTAGACAATTTAGGTGGATGGGCAGAAGGAAACTACTTCCAAATCATGAAAAGCAAGACAGTGCAGATGACCTTTTGAAAAGGAGGAAAAACAGCAGCAAGTGAGAAAATGAAATTCAAGAACAAATGTCTCAAAATAGTTCATAGTACAGATATTTAGGAATAACACTTCAGACACCAGGCAGCTCATTCAGAATTCATATCAGGGGAAAAAGCAGCAACAGTGATTAGAGCCATGTTCTGAATAAAAAAGATTCACAAATTGTCACTAGAATCAGCAATCAAAATATTTCATGCAGTAATCAGCCCAATCATAACACATGGTATACAATTAATATGGAGAAAAACTATCAATAGATGATCTAAAGTCCATAGATAGAACTAAGGCAAAATACCTGAATAGAGTCCTGTTTCTTCCAAAGATCACCAAATCAAAAACAGGAGAGAATAGAAATATGGTCAGAATTTTACTCTACAGATGCCATGATGGAAAGAAAATGGACTGAAACAAACCAGGAATTAAGACATGTGATCACAAGACTGGCAACTCGTGGGTTTAATTACAAAATATGTGCAACCTCACATCACCATGAAGTGATAGAAGACTGCATGTGGTGAACAGTGTGAACGATATATCCAAAGATGCAAGAAAAGAGCTAAAACAGTGACTGAATATAGCAAAGAACGTAAATTACATTTTTAAGCACTTTCATGCACACTCCATAATCTATTCATAATTTTCCACTATTATTTTAAGAATGGTCATCATAGTAGAGATGGATAAAGCTGAAAAACAAGAACTCGTAAAGGTAAGGTGTAGATATATTTATATATCACGTTTGTTTGAATAAAAAAGAAGGGATCACCTAATTTACTCTGAAACACTTGTAACAACTAAGATTAATAAGTTATTGACCCTAGCCTACGTACAAAGACATGTGAAATAGTAAAGAAAAAGAAAGGAAAGGAATTCCATTTGTGATAAAATTACAGCAGTAATTCTGTTAAAAGGTGGAAGCTGATCTTTAACCAAACAAATACATAGTTTGATTGAAAAAAATATGGATGGATGAGTAAATACCCAAACTTTAGATATAGATATATTTCACCAATGATATTTTTTGAAGAATCCTAATTTTATGACAAAGCCTTTAGCCTAATGGCAGTATATTAATTATATATTTTCCTAATTGAACTAGAAGTACTATCAAAAATTGTTAAATTATCATTAAACAATACCAATGCCAAGGAATGAATAAACAATGACAATTTTTGTGAGAGTGTAGGCTTCCGCGGCCTGAGTCAGTAGGATTAGTCATCGCCTGAATGGCTAGATGAGGTCACCTTTTACAAGTCCTTTTCAGAGTTGTAACAGATGTAATATTGAAAAAAACGCATCAGGTAATATATTCAGTAGGATGAAGAAAATTTTTGCTGATTAATTCTGGCAGCTCAAGTAAGCATTTGTCTTGTCCTTCCATCAACTGAAAATTGATTCTGAGAAAGTGAGGCTAATTATAAATTCTTCAAAAACAAAATACATGAAATGCTCCATTAGAAAAATCTGAGAAATTTTCTAGATGATTGTGAAATTAAGGAACTGCTCTCGTTTATAATTCCTTGACACAACAGACGATGTTGATAACTCAGTAGCAGAAGAAATATAAGATCAATTTATTGCTTGTAATAGAGTATTCTATGTGTACAGAAACCTTTGTAGCAGCAAGCTTTCATTAAGATTCTTAAAAATGAGAGTATTAAGTACCATTAAAAAACCTGTAGTGATGTATGGGTGCAAAACATGCATATGAAACAACACAGTATACTACTACTAGTATGATTATGTACATATCTTGACTTGTCATACTTTGCTTATGCTGTATTTATGTGACATATATTATTGTTATTATTATTAAATGTTAGGAATAAATAAAATAAACACGTAAGCGAATTTGAAAGAAAAAATCTTGTGGAAAATCCATGGTCCCACGGACCTTGGTGATCAGTTATGGAGAATTAGAGAAGTTATCTGGAGTCAGAGTAAATAAATTTAGAAGAATCGCCTGATTGGATTCCTACAAAGGATGCGACATGATAGAATTACTAAGAAATTACATCGGCCTTCCGATAAACTAACACAGGTCTTCCCCTACAATATAGGGGATAACCTGTGGTAGATTAAAATTAAAATTTGTAAGAGGACGGCTAAAGGCAGAAAGCAGTGGGGGAAGATTGTTGAGCAGGCCTAGACATACGTAGCACTGTAGTGCTTTGAGAAGAAGAAGATATTTTATTTACATTTATAAATTGTTCTGAGAAGGGTCATGACTCCCACATTCACTCATCCAGAAAGTATTTTGGGGAGGAGGCCATTAATTCAACTCCCTTACCCTCCCAAATTATAATAATAAAAAATAAATTGTTAAAATATATCTACTTAATAGGAATACTTCCGTCAATTTGATGCAATTTAGAAGTGGTACTTGTTTTGAATAAATTGAGTAAAATTATGAAAAATATTGGCTTAATTTGAGGAGGTTGCATGGCATCTGTGCGCCTGCCCCCGCCCCTGCCCTCTGCCCTCTACCCCCTGCCCCACCTTCCTTCTCCTTGGTTCGACCTCTCTCGTGGCTGAATTTTGAAATGTGATTGATCTGTAAGAATCTCTTCCTAAAATAATTTAGTCCTTCCAAAGCATATCCCCCCCAATGCAACTAGAAAGTACAAAAACATTAAATGGAGCCAAATTGTAGTGTTTCTTGTCGTTAATTCGGGTGTTAAAACAAAATAACCAAGGACAAGTCCAAAAAAATATGAAAGTTGAGAATTGTATGTGAAGTTGTCATAGCTATCATATCATTGCATATCGAGGTTTGACTACTTTGCCTTTGGTTATTAATGTTGCTTTTCTCTATTTTATAATTATATTAAGATTGTTAATAAATTCTAATAATATAATTAATTACTTTTATTTATTTTATAAATATTTAATTTTATTAATAATTTACTTCATAAATTTACATTGTAGTGAGTACTCTGAGAAACATAATTATTTGTTGAATTGGACATGCAAACTGTTTTTTCATTGATCTGCATTAATTTTTTGATAGAAGTGTAAACTATTTTTATATTGTCACAAAATTATGACGCTTTTGTTCCATGAAGATGCAGAATATTTTTCTTCATATTGCAGTGTGGCTCTGACTACTCCTGTTTTCATCTCCAATTTCTCTTATAGATCTGTTAGGACAATCTCACCCAAAGAAGTTAGCTCCACTACTACTCTGGAGCCCCCTTTGCCACAAAGAGAGAAAACCATGAAGCGAGGTTATATGCAAGGGTAATAATTGAAATATAATTTTTCTTGTTACGAAAGTCACTTGTAGGTTTTGTAAGAATCGTGACATGGGATGACCTCATGACTCAAATTTTCTATCATCTTTTTCTTGCCAGTATCTTATCCGCTACTTCATTCTTCTAGCACCTTCTAGCACCTATAACCTTCTTCTCCAGTCTTGTCTGTTCTTCCAGGAATCAGGAGGTAATTTCCACTTCTCGATTGTCTTTCTGATCTGGTCATTCCACCCAGGTCTTTGTCTTCCTCGGTTTCTCCTTTTACTTGGTTGTCATTCTAATGATCTTTCAGGGAGTCTTTTTTCATTCATTTACAGTACATGTCCAAAACAAGTGAGTTGTTTTGTTTCAATTTCCTCTGTAATATGTTGCAGATTCATTATTTCTGTAACCCGTTCATTTGTAATTTTTGACCTTGTTGATATTACTGCAGTTCTTCAGAGAAAATCCATTACCAGGATTACATTTTCTTTTCTGTTGTTTCTTTTTATTTATTTATATTTTTTTTGTACAAAAGTTGCCTTATTTCTGCTCTATTCAATGTAACTTTTTCAATCATACATTTATGCATTCTAATTTTCAATTTCTTGCTTATATTTGGATCTCAGAACACTGGATTCAGAGCTCCTAAAATGTTTCTTCCTTTAATGAGTCAGGTTTCACATTCCTTTCCCTAAAAACCCTGTTTCCCTATTGTTTTTCCCAAGTAATTTGTGTCCTCTGTTGTTCTTATTATTTCTTCATTTTCCATAGTCAAAAGGTTATGTGTACTGCCTAGTATACTGTTTTTTCTAGGTTGAGGCTTAGTCCCCATTTCTCTTAATCTTTTACCTTCCTAGTCATATATTCAATATCTTCTTATTCTTGCACTGATCATCAATGAACTGTAGGGTGTAGAATGTTGTATTGTCATCAAGTTGTAATCACATCCCAGTACATTTTCTTTTCCATACCTGTAAACTCTGCATTAACGTATATTTTAAAGAGGGTATGTGACGAACAGCATCCGTGCTGTAGTTCTTTTGAAATCGGAAATGTTTGGGTCATCTTGTTTTCCAACTTTCCTGTTTCCCTTTTGATCTATATACAGTTCCTTCACCACATTTATTAAGATTTTATTTACTTCGTAACTTTATGACTAGCATGCCATCATAGACCTTTGCTATATTAAGGAAGACCATATGAAGTTCTCTCCCAGTTTGCCATTTCTTTCTAGTACAGACAAAACAGATTATTTATGCAAAATTGACCTACCCTAAAACCACTTTGTTCTTCTTCTTTGTACTCCTTGTATCCCTCTTCTCTTAATTCCCTTAACATTCCACCATATATCTTATTGAACATGTTTGACACTGCTATACCTGTATAATATTTACGCGTACCTTTTGTTCCTTTGTTATATATTGGTGCCATTTTCCAATCTTCTGATATATTGCCTATATTTATTCACCTATTGATTAGCTTCATCATCATCTGCACTAGCTTTGGTGTTCCATTCTTTATCAATTCACTTGAGATTTGTCCTGGACCCATAGCCTTACTGCCTTTCATTTGTTGGATACATCTCTTAACCCTCTCTTTGGTTACTGTACTTTCTCTGGGCGAATATTTCTTTTGTCTTTCTGAAGTTCCAAGAAAATCTGATCTTCCTTCATTTAATACAAGTACTTTTCTCATTTACTTGTAGATATACTTTGTATGCAAGCTTTTTCCATTTGGGGAGATTTTTTGTTTTATGATCTTCCAAATCTATTTTGTTTTTGTTCCACTTATGTCTGTTTCTACTTTTTGGCATTTACGCCCCCTTGATTGTTGGTTTTCTTTTCTTACATGTTTCTAACTATTTTGTTGGATTTTATATTCCTCCCTATTTTCCATTTCCTTGGTACTCAACCATTTTTCATAGAGTATCGTCTCCTTTATTTCCACACCAGGTCTTGAGCAACGCGAATCCTCCCTCTCCTTTTCTTTTTTAAAGATATTTCTCCAAGCTCTTCTTTAGCCGCTTGATTTAGACTATCTTTGAGATGTTCATATCTCCGTGTTTGGTCCAACTATGTTATCATTTAGTAAATTATCCAATCTGTTTTGAAATAAATATCTTATATTTGGTAGTGATAGACCCCCTATATTATATTTCCTACCTTCACTATTTTCATTTTTGTCTACCTTATGTTCTGATCTCCATTTCTTTTTTGTCTCATGGGTGGAAGTAATTTGGGCCTTCACTAGGTAATAGTTGGTCTACATTCCGGGCCTTTGTGTGCCCTGACCTCCATTACTTGACCAGTTAAATACTATCTAGTGATTGTGTAATCGATCTCCGACCTCTTTATCTTCCCTTATCTTCCCAAGTGAACATGTGCTTATGTTTATGTTCAAAGTGACCATTTCTATTTATAAGTTCATGATGTTCACATAGCTGAATCAATCTTCTTCCATTCAATTTTTCCACCCTTTTTCCAATTTGTCCAATGGCTTTTGAGCTCTCAGATTTTCCCAATCTGGCATTAAAATTGCCCAATTAAATAATTTCCCTATTTATCCCCCATTCACTGATTAGCCCATCTAATTTGAATAAAATATCTCCAAAATATTAGTTTATTTTCATTTGTTGCGTACACTTCAAGAATCATCATTTTGTATTTAAAACTTTCCAAATTTACTTTAATCAGCCTCTCATCTAGGGCTTCCTAACTTTTAATATGGTTTCTGTTTTTTTTAAATTAATTAATTTATAATCTCTTTTACTATCCCTCTGATCTTTTGTTACTCTGCTTCAAATATGAACTTTTTTTTTTTTTTTGGTCTCACTTAAACTTGCAATATCCACATTTAAATCATGAAGTTCCTAAATTTCCTCCTTTACCTTATTTCCCAGACCTTGAGAGTATTCTATGTATCAATATTCATTATCCACTTCCTTTGCCTAGTTAATCTCCAGTTCTAACCCATCGTCCCAACCCCCAATTTAAAGAGCCAGGATTTTTTATGGTTCACTCCCCTAGGAGGCTGGCTTTACCTTTGAGCCCCTACTGTCATGATCGCTTTAGGAGTCTCCTAGTTCTGTTAGCAAGATCATTCCCGTATCTTTCATACCTAGGTAGAAATGTAGGCTAGGATTTCTGCCTAAATCTTCGAGGTGTCATCATTTTGAGATATTCTGTGCACTACCGAATATTCACTTCTTGCGCCCCAGTTCTCTTCTGAAGTACTTCGTCTGAGCCCTCCCCTTTGACCTGTCTGGCAAGGGAGTCCCTATCAATAGCTATACCATCGCCGACATAGCTCTCAGGATCACGGGGATTCATTAGCTCCACTACCAACATCAAAGTCACGTACTAGGTGGAGAAATTTTGTCATTTTTCTTAAAAAAAACAAACATGGAGTAGAAAAAGGCTGCACTTGAAGATGATGATCAACCCCTAGTTTTGAAGATTTGTTACTTGAAATACAATCCTAGAAGCAAGGTCCAAAAAATTTCCATTTTTTACAATGTTTTAATACTTTTTAAATTGATGAATATTTTTTTCTTCTTCAATTTTTATTGCTACATTAATATAACAATTAAAAGTGTAAAATTTTCTGGAAAATGTGATTTTTTTTCTTCCCCTTTCCTTCAGTAAGTTGTTTAGTATAGAGAAACAACTGAATATTGTTGCAGGTTTAGCTCATGGGGAATATGAATGGAAGGATCCAGAGACTGAAGATGAAGTGTATGTAATTAAAACATTTCCCTTTTAGACCAATCAATACAAATAGTATAACATTTGTAGTCATACATTTTTCTTTTTACTGTACATTTTATTGAAATGCATTTAAAGTCTTCTACACACTTTTGTGTGGGTCTAGCTGGGAAGAAAGATTATACTGCTCCCTTACAAAATTATAAAAACATTTGGACAATTATTAGAAATAAAAAATTCTCATTGTATTGTAACAATTTTTTCCTGTAATACATTTTTCAAATTTACCATTGTAGAATCACGACCAGTGATGAATAATAAACTAAAATTGGTTCACTGGATTGGTCATTGTGGGTAGAGAAACAAATAGTTGTGCCAATGTTCCAAATATTTAATTTCTTCATCACGACTAGGGTAAAAAAAATGAACAATGCATGAGGACAACAAACATTTCAATATATTGATTCATTTAAAATTAACATTACACAAATAAAAACAAAAAAAAATGTTACATAATACTACAATACCTTATTTTTTCTCATTATTAACAAATTTCAGACATCACTTGTAAAATTCATAACAAATTTTAGAATATTTGGTATGAAAACCAATCTTTCAAAGCTAATATTTCAACACACGTTTGACTATTGAAATGGCATGTCATACAGCTTTAACATCTCCCAACAATGAGAAGGGATGCTCAAAATTTCAAACTGCCATGTTGCAGTGCTGCATTTCTGTGATCATATTCCAATCTGATATCTCTCAAAATACTAGCAAACGGAGCATGAGAAATTCAAATTTGGAATTTTTAAAATTCAAAAATTCTGCTTGACTACTGATTTTACACTAATTTTTTTACTGATTGTATACTGATTTTTAAAATAATGTACATGACCATGAATAATTAAATTTCTTGCTTTTAATAATTTTTTCAGAGCCAACACCTTTTAGCAGTTACTTTTTAAACTTGCAAAATTGATTTTGTTTTTAAATTTAAATTTCGAATCAAAAGCTTTGAAAATGTTGTTGTGAAAGAAATCTATTTTTAAATTGTTAGTCTTTCTATTGTAAACTTTTGAATTGTAAGTCCATTTAAAATTTAAAAAACATACTTTTCATTAGAATGGGTGGAGTAGTTCTCTAGTAGAAATCTATTTCACTTTTTTTTCTTCGGTGTTGGAAGCATTGTTTAAAATCATTTGGGGACAGTCTTTACCACATCTCAACCAGCTAGATCCTTTAAGCAAATGAAGAGTTCTGTGAATCTGTTCAGAGGTGCATTCAGGATATAAACAAGTGAAAGTTTTATTTAATGTGAAGTACATAGAAATGACAAAAACCAGGAACCACCTGTAATCTATAAAATTATGTATTTCAGTTTCACACTGCAATCTCATTAGATGTTAGGAGCCAAAAATTATAGTATCACAGAAATTACAATGTTGAGGGTTATCTTTCATGCCCAAATATTACTAAAATAAAATAAATAATATAATTTCTTACATTATATTCTTCAAATAAACTGATTTTCCAATTCCATTCATATTCGAACAATCTTACTAGTCTTACAGTCTGATAAATATGAATAGTTATTTGAATACCTTAAATAATAACAAATATGTACAGTGCTTTTTATTGATTTAGAGAATTTCATTGTCAGTTTTGCTCATTGTTGTTTTTGCCTGTTCTAATAATGTGAACTAGTTGGTTACTTAACATAAAAGAATATAAAGAAATATAAGGGGGGCTTAAAAGAAAGTTTTCTGTTGATTTTAAAAATATTGTTAATGCTAAACCTTACCAGATTTAAGGAATTTGTTTTCTCAAACAGATTTAAGACCATCTCACTTAAAGTATGATTCATTCATTGTCACAAATGCTGCTTTTGACATACTAGAACAGAAAAGATAAATTGTTTTACCAATCTGCTGACCATTGGGATAACCTATCCTTCTACATCAAGGTTATAGCAACTGTAATCGGAGAAATTTGAAATTCTAATTTTTCGTGCAAACTGGGGTAAGATGTATTACAGGGAAAGAAAGACAGTCTTGTATGAAACTACTTGTGAAACATATTATAAATAATATTTTATATAAATATAAATTTCTATTGAATTTTTTTTTTTTTTTTTTTTTAATGTAGTAGATGCGGTCATGAAATATTTCTTGACCAAAAACTTGAGACATTTTGTTTGTGATTCTGAGATATTGTTAATATTTATGTTTAATTCTTTAATAAATCCCTTTCAGGGTGAATATTGTGTACGTAGATCGAGATGGAAATAGGACACCAGTTCGAGGAAAAGTTGGGGATAATGTTCTATATTTAGCTCACAGATACAATATAGAAATGGAAGGTCAGTTAATTTTGCTTCTGTACAGAAATAATACACATTTATAAGATGCTTCCTATACTTTCTTGTTGTATCATAAGTTAGGTTTCGTGTCTTTCTCAAAATAGAGTAATGTTTAGTGATATTGTATTAACCCATTAAGTCGCCACATTGTGCTAAAGCAACTTTTAGTACATACTTTTTTTTAAAAATAAAATGATTCAATATAAATTTCTTCTGTGTCACTACCGCTCTTAGAAGAAATACTATTTGATCAGCTTTGTATATTTTCATTCATATCCAAACATAAACTTGACTCTGTTGAATTTTGAAACTTGAAGATAATGTAATGGATTGTGTTATCAATATTCAGTTTTTAATTTAATTATTACACAATTCTTTTTTTTACTGTATATTACTCCACAACCTTGCCTGAACCTTCTTTCTTTGTTTTAGAATATTGATTATGTATGTAGATAAGTCCTTTCAGAGCTTGTTATTGATAATTTATAATAATGTGTTTTTCGCAACTTTGGGGTTAGTGGGTATATATCTTAACATAATAGAACAAATGCAATTGGAATGTAAGCATTTAGTAGTAGACATATAACTACTGTTTCATATTTCCATTCATGATATAATTGCCTTATCCTTCTTTGTCGCATCATTGTATGGACATTGCTTTAATAATAATAATAATAATAATAATAATAATAATAATAATAATAATAATAATAATAATAATGATGGTGATGGTGATGTGTGTGTGCATGCGTGTGTGTCTGTGTGTGTAAGCATGTAGTTTGTGTACACATACACACACACACTATCAACTGCTGAGTTTCTTTCAGTATTGGAGGAAGATGTTGACCTTATCATAGCAAATAGGATTGATAGTTTGCACATTCTTCCTAATGTTGTCAAAATGACAGATGACGGAAATATAGATGATGATCTTCTAGAGGAAAAAGAAGTAAAAGGAGAAACCTGTATTGATAGTGCAGTTGTTAAATTGTGGATAATATATAATATTGCTAGTGAAGAAAAGATGTCACAACTAGAATTTTGCTCTTACATATCCATGATCCTAATGAAATCTGAAGACTGCAAAAGAAAGTGAATGCAATAATGAGTCAATAAATTCACAGGAGACTGAAAAATCCCATATTGCTTGACCCATCAAAAATTCCCTACCTAAAGAAGTACATTTTAATGATACAGGGATACCAACATAGGTGCCTCAGGGAATCAATTGATGTCACTGCAGTACCTCTGACCAGGAGGCCCTAATGTTCGACAGGATTTTTATACATTATCTACACAATTATGTTGAGTTTAGCCACCGTTTTCACAATCCAGAGGGGTGAGAACGCCGCCTCCTCCCCCGATAAAATCATACATTACAATTATGAAACTAATAAATTTAGCAGTTGAACCTCCTGGAATCGCCAATCATTCACTCATTCGTGATGTAGAACACGTGATTATGAAGGAAGGAAACAAAGCCAGGAGGAGGTTGAGATTGTGCAAAAGCACTACAATTGGCAAATTTAAAATATGCAATGTTAATCTTCATTCAAACTGTTTTCAGTCAGCTCATGTTAAGAGTAATTGATATACCCTATTGTCCCAAAGTTGTGTATACGCAACATTTTGTTGTTCAGTTACTATTGGTTCAAAGGAATTATAAATGTATTTTTCATCCTTTCCAGTGTTATATTTGAATAAATACACAAGATTATTAAAAAAAAAAAAAAATTTCAATGCTTGGTTCTTATTAGGATATGTATTGAACAAAATTTTGTTCTTGATGTATGATCTCTGTGGCCTTTGTTATTGATTATTTGGCAAAGATGGGGCGCACTAATATTTGTTTGATCTCCCTGAATATTCTTTGGTTGGCAATTCCACTAAATAATCGGTTTTGTATGTCTTAACTGATGTGGTTTTAAAATTGGATTAGTGAGGGGTAAAACTCAAACAAGGTAAGTTGTGATAATACTTGTGATGATGAAACTTTATATTTGGTTATTAGTTTCACACTCCAAAGTATCTACTATTTATTGTGTAATGTGTTATTGATACTTTCTTGCATTCTCTTAGCAAATGTTACATTGTTGTGGTAAAATGGCAAGGTTTGTTATATTTAAATTGACGAAATGGGGAAATTCAGAAAATATTCTCCCAAACACTGCTATTAATTCTCGCCCTCTTCTCATTTACGTGCCACAAATTTTCACAATTCTAATAGTGCAACGAATTAAAACTTATTTGTTTCTAAGCTGTTAGATTCTTATTTTAAGCTAATTGAACTCTATTCATCAAAAACCTTAAAAAACCAAAAAGCCCCTAAAAACTGTACAAATTATTTTTCTTGGTTTTTCTATTTCAGAGTAATAAGTTTTGAAAAATATTATATTTTTCAGAATATCTATACTGAATGTAATTGGGGAAGGGGTCTGTCTGTCTACATGTTTGTGTGTCTTTCTTTGTGTTTCCTTTTAATTTTGCTATAAACTCTTGCTAAACTACCTCCTTCTTCAAATATTTTTTTAAAATGTAGACGAAGGTGTCAGTTTCTTTTTTACTCATGTTTTATACCTTCTGAAACTTGTGATGACAATCTGTGTTGATTTGGAGGGTGGGCAACATCTCTCCTTGCGTAATCCTCATTGTTCTTCCACGGTTATTTTTTTCCTAATGTCAGAATGTAGAAATGCCTAATGAAGAAAGTAATATTTACTTCCATAAAAAAATTTAGATAAGAGGAGAAGATGAAAGCATTTTATGATTAGCATATTTTGAATGCATAGTTCTTATTGTGGTTTCAGGATAAAATGTCCATTTGTGAATGTCCGGTGACATAATTGTCCATTGCAAAAATGTTTGATGCAGAATGTTTAGTGACATAATCATCTGTTGCAAAAATGTCCAATGCAGAACGGCCGAAGACAGAAACTGTCCACTGACATAAATGTCCAAGGGTGCAAAAATGTCCAATTTTTTGAAACAATAAAATAGTTACATTGTAATGTAAAATAGCGTTATAGATGTTGCTTGGTAAATCAGTAATTCATTATATTCTATTTTAAATTTCAGTGGTACAATGGCTCAAATTATAACATCTCAAAAGAATAAAAACATTTTGGTGAAAGATGGATATAAGTACCCTTATCATTCTAGAAGTAAAGATAGTACCAAAATTTATTGATGTTGTAAAGGAAGAATATCTTGCAATGCGAGGTGTGTTATGAATGCTGATTTAGAAAACATAATTTTAATAAAAGATGAAAGAAGAAACCATTTGCATGAAGCAGATTCTGCTACAGTAGAGGTTTTGCAAGTCAGACATTGAAAGAAAGAGCTGCAGGGAAACCTCATGAAGGCCCCACAGGAATTGTAAGACAGGTTGTAGGACAAATTAAAAATTAAGAAATTTTGGCAAGGCTACCTGTCCAAAATAGCCTGAAATGCTCAGTAAATAAGGAACAAAATAGAATACGACCATGGAACATCCAAAATTTGGACCACCGTGTGACAAACAACAGACAAACAAAATTCTTATATTTTCTTTAAATAAGGACATAGAGTATTAATGCTTATTTATTTTCTGATGACACATTTAAAACATTTCCAAATCAATTCCTTCAGTTATTCACTATACATGGAATGATAAATAATTTTACTTTTCTGTTAGTTTTTTCCTTGCCGATCAACAAATCTCAAGGTTCCTACTCAGCCATGTACATCCAAAAGAGTGAGCGAGAAAACAAGGATCAGAGCTAGAACCTCCAATTTTTGTCATGGATTCCGAAATTGCAAACATGAATCCAGCCCAGGATAATTTCCCAATGCAAGCATTAAAGGTTGTCTGCACCATTTCACACAGTCAATATACAGAAAAGTCATTAGTCTTGGTTTACATGAATTATATATACATTGAAGAACCTTGTAACAGACAACAGATCCAAGAACTAATGATTCTCCCATTTATACCAGTAGATTTGAAAGATGCATTTGATATGTTGTACGATGGCATTGAAGAAGACATAGTTGAACTAGCTAATTATATGTAAATTACATATATGGCATGTGCAAAGATGCCAAAAAGCAATCCCTCCATGATATCCACCAGCAATCTGGAATATGTAGCTGCCTGCACTGAAAGCACCCCAGAGGACGAATAACGCAGTGGAAGCTTTTCACAGCAAATTTCAAAAGATGATAGCTGCTCATCATGTGAGTATCTGAAGATTTTTTAAGCATATAAGAAACAAACAGTATGACAAAGAAAGTATTGTCTTTCAAATGCAAGCAGGCCATGTACACATGAAGCCTCCAAACAATAAAAAACAATATTACAAAACAAAGAGGAGTAGAAAATATTGTGCAAAACTACAACACATATAAGAACACAAGAAGTATTAAACACTATCTGCGGGGAATAGCGTACGATTTAAAACTTCAGTTACCATTAGAAGATAGAAGGCAGCAAGAAGAATACAAATAAATAAGGTGGATATTCTGTCATTTGGACCATTTTGTAATAAAACTTTTGGACATTTTTGTAGTTTGGATATTTCTGCAAGTGGACATATCAAATTGGACGTTTTAACCTCGAACCCTTATTGTTTTCACTCAAAATCTGCCGATCATTTTATTTTTGACAAACTTTTACAACAGCTTTCATGCGATAAACAATACTGTTTTGTTTGTGATCATAGTACGTAATAAGGTAATCATAAAACATTGTATTATCGGTATTTTCATCATTTTATTCTTATAAAATTTGCTTTCATATTTTTTGTCAAATTTTATAAGAATATCCCATAAATTTTGCATTATATTGAATGATGAAACTTAACCTATTTTGGATCCTGACTTAAGCTTCATATTTCAAATATCATTTTGGGTCTGTTCAAAAAATATGTTTGCCAAATTTAACTTTCTTTTACATTCTTTCATCCCATAATCATTCATAACACTTACAAATCCTCCCGTGAAATTAGTATTCTATTTCAACTTCATGAAAACTTAAAAATGAAATATACTTCTTATTAATTTGAGTCTTCATTAATCAGATGTTAAAGTAATAAATAATTTAGAACGTAAAGCTCAATATTATAAATAAAATGTTCATTCTGTAATGTAAGGTAATTTTTAAATTAATTTAATACAAAACTAGTGATACATTATCATCATCATCAACAACAACAACAACGACCACAACAACAATGACGACAACAACAACAAAAACCCCAACCTTGGTTTAGGAGTGTGTGTAATGTGTGTAATGAAACAGTATTTCTTTGTGTGTTGATGTGTTCCTGCGGGTGCCATTTTCTTGTCAGCCTCCCTTTGCCCTTCTTGCTTTGTGGTGTCTATGTTAAAAAGCCGTCAATGGTAGGTGTTTCTTGCACTTTCTCTTTGCATGATTTTTTCCATTTCCTCTGTTATCCTTGTATTTCTTCTGCTAAGTTTTCTGCTTTAATTCTTTACTAATTTTTTCATTGTGAATTTTGTCTCTCCTTGTTTATTCTAAAATTGACCCTAAAAATTTCACCTGAGCTACTTCCACATTTCTGGTTTCCTTCACTCTCATTAACCGCATTTCAACCTAGTGTTTTAACATTGATTCTGATGTAATGTTATGAATTCTCATAATAGTGTCATTTCTCATATGAACAAAAGTCTCTTTTTTTTAAATTTTATTTATTAATGGGATATTCCCATATATATAAAGTTAAATTATAATGGAAAATCAATAAAATGAGTTCCACGATAAAAACAAGGTAATAAATTAATAAAAATTACAGAATGGAGTAAATAATTTAATGGAAACTGAAGTAAAGAAGCTCTCGTAATTCAAAATTAATTTCAGAGACTTCTTGAATTTGACACCATATCAGTATTATAATATGAAATAAGTATATATCATTGCACGATAATGATTGGCCTCATATGAAAATATGTTGAATACATCATTTCACATTTAGTTTGTACTATAGTTAGATATATAAAAAGGTTGGTGAAATCTTGGGTTTATGTTTCAGAGCATAAAGCCATACTTCAGAAATAATATTTGGACAGTTAATTTGCCCAGATAGATTGGCATGTAGAAAGATGAGGTCGTGGTTCAGTCTTCTAGTTGACAGCATATGGATATTAATTTGTGCTCAGATATTCTCATAGTTGTGATCTAGTCTTGATATAGGATTGTTGTCAATAAATGCCAAATATCTCAGAAATCAGAATTATTATTATTATTATTATTATTATTATTATTTTATTATATAAGTTACCTTATTCATTATTTAATTATTGAATTTTGTGTAACTATATTGACTCAAAGGTGTTCTTTGCTGGAGGCTTTTGTGTTCTGGGTTGATATTTTCATTTGCTATACTTTGCATATCTTGCTTCTTTCGGAGGATGTTTTCTGTAGTGTCTTCAGAATCAGTTGTTATGACGGGCCATAGAGTCATTAATTTCTGTTGTTTTTTTTTTATTGTTTATTCCTGCTTGAGTGTTCTGTTTCCATTTTCATCTGATTCAGGTAAATCTTGGTATACAGTGGGGACTGAGAGCAGTCTGGCATAAACCATTATTGATTTTCATTTGCTGTGTTGTACCTTCATGGCTTTTAATTATTGTTATTGAAAACTGCTATAAGCTCTGTATATTTTTTATTAAAGGTTCTGGTGTTGTTTCTTCTCTCAAAATTTCTCACAAAATCTGTCTGTATTCACATTGACATAGATATTTTCATAGTCAATAAACAATAAATGAAATTCTTTCCTGTTTCCTTTCTGCCTTTCCTTTTTTGATTATCTGCTGGAGCATGAATATTGCATCTGTTATACTTCTTCCCTTGTGAAATCCAACTTGATTTTTCATGGTTATTTCATTCTTATTCATGCTAGTCTGTCTTACTATGTTTACAACAATTTTTGTTGCTGTACTTATGTTCCTATAGTAGTTACAACAACTATAGTTTGCTTTTCCAAAGATATTGGATGGTATTAAAGTCCTCCATTCTTGTGATTCTATTTTGTGCTTCTTTATTTTGTTCATTAGTTTTGGGAGTTGGGTTTTAGTTCCTGTCCTCCAATTTTTTTCATTTCTGGTTTTATCTCATTCATTTCTTGCTCTCTTCCTGTTCCTCAGTTTTGCTCTTACATTTTCTAGTTATTCCTTAACAACTTAATTTTATATTGCAACTTGTACTTCATTGTTTGTGGGTTTTTTTGGTCTGGTTCATACTATAATTGTTGTAATGTTCTTCGTATACTCTGTTCTGTGTTAGGTAGCTGTTAAATTTGCCTCTTGTTTTTTAAGTTTTTTAAGAATTTTGCATACTACTATTTGCACACATATGAAGTCCCTCCCCAGCTGTTTCACATATTTGTCTCAATTGTTTTTCTTAAATAGTGTCTTTTCTCCTCACTTTTGCTCTGTTTTGTTTGTATAAGATGTGATCCTTTACAACACTTATGTGTAAGTATTTTTGGTAAGATTTCTTGTTTTCTATTATGAGCTCTTTTATCTTTTGGTTTCAGGTTCACAGCCTTCTTTCATTCTTTTGGTGACTGCTTTGTAGGCTCTCTTTTACTGCATCAAGAATAGCAGGCTTCATGTTCTTCCAATTTTCTTCTATATTTACTTCTTTCCTATTAATTGTTTTTAATTTTGTCATGCTTCCCTCTTCCAGTAAATTGTTTCATTTTCTAATGTTCATATTTGGTTTTCTTGCTTGCTTTGCTGTGGATTTGATATTACCATTTTGTATAAGACTATGTAATGATCACAGTCTAATCCTTTTCCTCTATATACTCTAGTGACTTTTATATTTTGCATTGTTTTCACAACTGTAATTGTATAATTGATTATTGATCTTGTACCTCTATTCTCCCATTAATTTCATTTCCCCCTTCTCTACCTGAATGAATGTATTTTTTTAATGTTATGTTTCATGGTAATTTACTATTTCCAGTTAATTACAATTTTGTTTATGGCCATTTTAAATTTGTCATCACTGTAATGTGGGTGATCTATTACACACAGTAAGAAACTTAGTAGATATGATATTGTTTATCTACTTTAATATCGGTCAGATCAAAGACATTAAGACATCTGAAATTCATTTAGTGTTATCATGGCTACAAATTAAATCATTCAACTTGTAAATAGAAGTAAAACCAATTACTGTGATGAAGATAATATAGAAAACAACTTCTGTAGAACTATTGCCATAATTTAACAGTTGTGCATAGTTTAGTCAATAAGAATATCAATAATTTTTATAGTGTTAAAATTTGTTTATGGCTCCAATTGTGCAGACAACAAAATATGATTATCAATTCCAAACTAAAGCAGTGGGTGTATCTGCCTACTCTTGATACACTTGTGTAAAATGATTGCATGTAAAATTCCAGGAGAGGAAATGTTTGAGATTTTTCCCTTTAATTCATCCACTAGTAACACTTCCTAATTTTATTCATTTCTATTCACTTAGCTTCCATTTAAAATAATTTTTCATTTTAGAGTAATTGCCATTGTTTTTTGTTTTTGTTTTTTAACATTACTGTGTATGCTATAGGTGCATGTGAAGCTTCATTGGCTTGCACAACCTGTCATGTGTATGTAAAACAAGAATATTTTGACAAACTGCCTGAAGCTGATGAAGTGGAAGACGATCTTCTGGACTTGGCTCCATTTTTAAAGCCAACTTCAAGACTAGGTAGTGGGTATTTGACGTGCAATTTTAATAAAAATATCGATTTATATGTTACTTGCAGAATGAATTGAATTAATTGAATTCTTGTCTATATTAGGCTGTCAAATAATTTTGAAGAAAGAATATGAAGGTATGGAAGTAACTTTACCTCAAGCCACAAGGAACTTCTATGTTGATGGACATAAACCTGAACCCCATTAAATCATAATTCCTGATTTGTAAATATAGTATACATTTTGTTAAATGGTAGGCAATTTGCTTGTTATTGTATGACTACAAATGAAGTACGATGTGATGACACTTTGAAAAAAACTGAAATCTAATTATCTTTGTAGTTATGTGGAAGAAGATCATTGCGATAAATTTTTATCCAGTTTTCAAAAATTTCAGATATATTCTAGTCTTATCATGAATATTGAATTTTTGAATAATGAAATTATGTTAGAGCGCATGTAAAGAATAATATTTTGTAATTATTGTTTGAATGTACTGTTATAGAAAAATATAAATTGTGTATATTAATTTCATTGATATTGAAACAGAAATTAGTCCTATCAGTTAAGTGTTTGATTTTTTCTATTATTGGACTTGTGAAACCTATTCTTATTTACAAACTACAGTTAAACATCTCTAATGTAGAACCTGGAAGAGGCAGAAACCTTCCTTCGCCAGAAATAAATCTCAGAATAAGGTATTTTCCTGTGCAAAATACACTGGATAAGCCGGAAACCTGCCTAATACGGAAACAGAAAGGATTTTTTGTACGAAGTTATGACAAATTTTGGATAAGGTGGAAAACAAAAATTGTTTAAAAGTTAAATGATGATTTGTGAATGTGACACCATCATACATGAGTGTAGAGACACTCAGTTGTGCTTGTCCATTCGCTTTCTTAGCTACCTTCATCCAAATGTCGTATTTCCCATGCTACTCGTGTGAAAGCCATTGTTTATTTGTAATAGCACGAACCTTCACAATCCCTTGTGAAGAAGGAGACATGGAGAGTGATACACAGTTCTTGTATTCTGTGCTTTGAGTTCAGTGGTTCTAAATGTTTACTATTGTTCCATTTGATGACTTGCGGGTATTGTATAAATGAAGTGTTTATGTCAGGCAACAAATTGAATATAGTAACTGTGGGTGAGAAAATTAGACCAACTGAAGAACATGAACAAAGCAATTCTGGCAAGGATAGAGAAAGGATAAAGAAATTTAAAATTAGGAAAACTGAAGTGTATGACACTTTAAAAACTAAGACAAAATCATGAATGAGTGATTGCAAGGAATGTTTTGAAGATAGTTGCCACAATATTCACGTGGATCTAGGCTATTTTCCTAGGGCTAAACTACTAATACAACATATTGCATCTTTGAACGATTGTCTTTTCTGAATTGACAGTTTTGATTGCAAATCTGAATAAGTCGGAAACCTGTAAAAGACAGGAGAAAACATTGAACCCAAATGATTTCAGCTTAGACAGGTTTTACTATATTTGCAAAATATTTATAAAATGCATTGCTCTGATAGTAATTGGAGAGAAAGAAGATCGAGACTCTGTAGGTTTTAAGTTATTAAGAGCTTTAGAGGTAGGAAACTGATACAGATCTATATTCAAGTTGTATGCTAAATAACAGAATGTAAAATATATATACAATTCGCCAGTGATCTTGTGACATTGAAGTATGACTGGACGAGTGATGGAGGGAGGCAGTCAAACAGAGCAGTGGACTGTTGGTTACCTGAAGGGCTCACCCACATCTCTTACCTTGATAGTTTTTACCACTAAACCTAATAAATTAATTAACTATTTTTCTTGAAGAGACATTGGAACAGTTCAGGTCATCCAAACACCTGCATAAATACCTGCCCTAAAATAACTTCCAGAAAGTAAGTTTGGGACTACTGTGAAAGGAATGCGAGGAATTCACTTTTAACTTCAATATAATTAAAATAAATAAAACTGATACATAATTGTCAGACTAATGATTGTGTTGTGATTAGTTATTTATGAATAGTTGTTGAATTAACAAATGAATAATATTTTAAAGTTGAGTAAAATGATTGATATCAAGCTGAACATTCATTACATGCAGTTAAAATAATTCTTGACATTAATTCATGAACACTCGAAGAGCAACTGTTGAAGCAATAAACTAATAGTTGCATATACTTGGATAACAAATTAAATTAATTAACACTGACAAACAATGATGTAGAATGTGGCAATTACATCTGAATTCTGTCCTCAGCATAGTGGCAGAACAACAATCATTCAAGAATTTCATCAAGAACATCAACAATCATTCAAGAACATTAATAACTGCTTGAATTAAATTAGAATAAATCTGATTGGTCAGTGCTGATAGACTGCACACTAAAACACAAGTGAATGAAATAAAATTCTATCTTCAACTTGATTTTATAACGATAGAAAATTTGTTACAAGGACGAATGATATCATAGTTGCATTACAGTTGCAATTGAATGATGCCATCATTGCCACCTCAGGGCTACAGTACGTTTAGCACTATCCCTACCAAGAAGTCAAAGAAAAAATCAGAGCAGTTTTCGAGAAAATCTTGTTTTTGTTATTTTTTTAAATTGCGCATGCTGCGTGAAAACTACTAAAATTTTCCAAAACAAATATACATGACCGTAAAGCAAGAGCTAATGAAGCTAAACAAATTTCAATTGACGAAAAAATCTCTATCTTCAATTTTGTAGTTCTAGGATGATGCCGAATAAAATTCAGACTTGCATTTTTGGAAAATTTTGAGTTAAGAGAAAAAGTCTGATCTATGCCATCTTTATTAGTGTATTTTACTCCATTCTTACAAGAAAATTTAAAGTGGTGCTACAGAATGGCACAGACTTTCCTGTGTTATTTTTCTATTGGTCTCAGCTAGCTTTACAGCCACATAATCTTGCCAGCTGCCGTCTGTATCCGCCCAAAGAACTTTTTTTTTTTTTTTTTTTTTTTTTTTTTTTTTTTTTTTTTTTTTTTTTTTTTTTTTTTTTTTTTACATTTTCTTAATTTTTTGGTTTTCTAGTAGAACGGAAATATTTTAAGAATATTAAAATAATAAAAAAAATTAGTAGCCGTTTTTATAAAATGACGCTTAAGCGCTACTGTAAATTTGAAATTTGAAGCTCTTTCTTTCACAAAATTTTAGAGTTTTCGAAAACAGTTTTTTAGAAAATCTTGTTTTGTATGTTTTTAATTGCAAATATTGCACGCTATATTGCGCGAAAACTACTAAGTTTCAAAAGAATGTGCATGACCTTAATGAAAGAACTAATTTTGGACAACAAATTTTATTCGAAGGACAAATCCGTATCTTCAATTTAGTAATTGTAGGAAGACGCCGAAAAAATTCATACTTAAGAGTTTAACAGTGAAAACTAGACCTATGCTATCTTTATAAATGTATTTTGCTCTCTTCTTACAAAAAAGAAAATTGAGAAATTGTTGAATAAGACCCATCGGGCGTACTTGGTCTCCAGTCATGTCTGAAACACCGGCAAAAACCCGCAGCGAAGGTTTTTGTCACCAGCGACCATCGTTTGCTCCTCCCAAACCCTCTTGCTCGCACTGCTTCTCCAAACGAAGGGGAAAACCGCCCTGACGTTGTTGTTTTCTTTTTTCTCCCAGTTGGCAAATGCTGGTTCAGGCGGTAGTCGTGTTCACTGACGGACGGACTTTTTAAAACTTAGTGGTGCTACAAATGGCACAGTCTTTCTCGTACTACTTAGTTTTCTAATTTCTTCGGTCTGGATTAGCTTAACGGTCTTGCTCCATTCTCTTGCCAGCTGCCGTTTATCACAACCCAATATTAATTTTTTTAAGTTTTCTATTTTTTTTTTCCGAATACATACAGAGTAATATACGTGATATAGGGAAAGTTATATGAATGCTGCGGAAAATCGATTTCGAGATATCAACGGAAATACAAGTTTTGGGGTCCCCTGATATCGAAAAAGTGTGTGTGTTTTTTTAAGGTCTGTCTGTTCGTCCGTCCATATGGTGTATGTGAACAAAACTAGTGCCTAAACCATGCGTAGGGTTTTCTTTTAAAAAAAAAATGAAGAAACCCCTGTCCATTTGGCCTGAGTCGATGCTCTGCGATTTTGAAAATTATTCATTAGTTTTTGGGAGTACTTTTACATAAAGCCCTTGGGACATTTTCAAAATTTCCTCGAAATTTGCTCCAAATGTTTTCTTTAAATTTCTTTTAAGAATAGAGTAAAATACACTTATAAAATGGCACGGTGAATTCTAAATTTTCGAAAATTTCAAAGGTTTGATTTTTTCGGTTTCTTCCTATAACTACAAAATTAAAGATAGAGATTTTTCCTTCAAATAAAATTGTTTGTCCATAATTTCTTTCATTATGGTCATATCAATTTTTGAAAATTTTAGTAGTTTCGTGCAATTTATGCAAATTTTTAAAAAAATACAAAAACATTTTCTAAAAAACTGCTCCAAATCTTCTCTTTAAACTTTTGGGAGGGATTGTGCTAAATGCATTCCATAAAATAACATAAACGGCTTTACTCTATCCTTTTTGTTTTTCAATAATTACATTTTTTACTTCCCTACGTCGTTATTTTTTATATTCGCGGCAATTTGATCACATTATTGTATTTATGAATACATATGCTTTAAATAGTGACATATAAAGCTTCTCGAAAACTCAACTGTTTTCTGTCAAAACTAGCTGAAAAGTTCGCATTTTCGGCATTTATTAGTTGTTTTTTTTCTTTTCAAAATTACACAAATGTATTTTGGGAAAATCTTTCACATTGTTAATATGCACATTTTCAGCGATTTGTAAACACTATTGTACTTGTGAGTTAAATACCTTCAAATACCTTTCAATGAAGTTTTTCGCAAACTCAAAGTTTTCAGTGAAAATTTGCTTCAAATTTCGAATTTACTTTAGCGCTTCATCGCCATTTTCTTAAAAACTGTTCTAAATTTTTCGAAGAAAATTTGTCTTTAAGGGCGAGGTTTTACTGTTCTTTAATATTCAAAATAATATTGTCGTTCTATGATTAGGAAACAGAAATATTAAGAAAACGTTAAAAAACAAAGAAAAGTACTTCGGGCGGAGATAGATGGCAGCTAGCAAAATTATGTGGCAAGTTTGTATAGCGAGCTGAGACCAATAAAAAAAAAAACACAGAAAAGTTTCGCCATTCTGTAGCGCCACTACTTTGGTTCTCTAATAGTAGATTCAAAATATTTCTTTTAGAATATTAAAGAACAGTAAAACCTTGCCCTATTTCGAAATTTTTTGTTGAAAAAGCCAGCTTTTAAGAAAAAATTGTTTAGATCAAGTGTCAAGGAGAAATTTGAAGTTTTTCACACGAATCTTTCGAGTTTTTCGAAAACCTTAATTGGAAGTCATTTGAAGAATTTCCACTCACAAATGCATTAATATATACAAATCTCCGAAAATGTGCAATGAATTTACATAGTAATCATTTGTTCTCGGGAAAACGCCGAGAAGCGATTGTCAATTGTGGCTATGGGTTTCCTTCTTTTCACTCTCTGGAAATGTTGCTCCCTGCTATGAAAGAATTAATTGAAACATGTATACTTGACAATATTGCTATAGACGATGTAGAAAATGCAATTCTTTACGAAATTTTAGGACTAAATCGACCCGGAATTATAGTCTAAAATTTGGAACAGAATTGCTTTTTATTTTAAAGGGTTTCCCCGTTTGCAAAACAATAATTTCAATATTCCTTCTCACTAGCTTCCATCCTCATGTAGAGTGGAAACAAATACTTCCTTCAATAGCATACATCGTTTTGCAGAAACCCCGTCGGCTTTTGACCGCGATGATGAATTGTACTTTTCTCAGTCACATTAAGAATCTAAAACAAGTATAACCGGCAACCGATTCGGTACATATGAATAGAGTCCGGATTTTTATATAATTACATATTTTTGTGTCTTCTTACCGTTCCCAAATTTGGAATTTTGGCCGTCCTAATACAATATGCAATTTTTATACATATTTAATACTATATTACATATTTTGGTATTTTCACTAAATATTTTTAATTGTATCAATTTTTTAAAATTTTATTACATTTTTAATGAAAATGAGTATTTTTTAAAACAAAAGATAAGCATTTTTCCTACATAATTATTGCATGCTGTATTCTCCTTGTACCCTATATGAAGACACATGAAGTTTTCAGTCCGGTGCGTCTGCTTCAGTTTTCTCAGTGAGCCCGCCAGCGACTGAGATTTTTTGGTGTAAAAAGTCTGACGCCGCAGTATGTGACCTTTAACTTTTTTTTAAAATTGGTTGCATCTATATAGACGCAACGCGTCTCCTAGCTCCTTAAGGAACGTTGAGCGCACTGTGAATCCTCCGTTAACATTTACATTTTTTAATTGGAGTAATCCTCCATTACAAGCGCTCTAGGGACCGCTGGGTAGTCGCAGTCAAGCCGACAGGCAGCGTCTTCGTGCTCGCGTCTCGCACGCGCCCTGCGTCATCTATAAACCATCGGCGAGAATTGGGAAGGAATAAGGATAGGGGAAGGTTGGACTAGCCCATGTAAATTTCGGAAACACATTGGCAATCGCCAACGTGCACTTCAATGAGAGTGCTTCACATTTCTGGTGTTGTTTGCTGATCGTAGAAATGGCCAGTTTGTACGATGTCTTCTGGCAATAGAAGACAAAAAACTACTGTCCTGGATAGCGATACATGAAGCCTTTTCTATTAACGGGAAAGTTGTATGGGGTAAAGTGTGCATCAACGTATGATTTTTAAGACGTTTGTGAAATTTTTAAAAATATTATGATTTTTTTTTCTAAATGCAATTTTGATTTATTTAATGATTTAATGCGTTTTATAATTAGTGAATTTTTATATTACATATTATATCCGATTTTACATGTTCTTACTCATTTCATTACATATTTTGACGTTCCATACTACATATTTTC